ACAATTCAAACAAAAGTAACATTATTTCCAGAAATTCAGAGTTCCTCAGACTTCCATTATTAGACAAACGAATAAACACCAGCAAAAATTGCATCAAAACAATTTGTTCTTCTTCAATTAAACAGAAAATTAAGTAAAAAAATTGAACAACTTACAAGTTATATAATCAAAATCTCCAATATACAAGCTTCAAAACAACGATCAATTTGACAGTAAAGTCGGCTGATTGAAGAAATTAGGGCCAAGAAGACGCCATTAATGAAGTCTGAAGAAAAAAGAGGAGAGAGAAAATAAAATTGGGGGAAAAGGGAAAAGGTCGTAGAAACAGAAATTTCCAATAGTTTGCCAAAAGTTTGGGGGAATACGAAGAAATGCTGACTAGGAAGAAGAACCCTACAATTTGACGGTTGGTTAACCGACACGTGGCCGTTGCAAGCAACTGAGTGACGTGGACTAAAATCAGCTGCCGGTGATTTTATGGAAGGGTACGGGTTTTTGCCGGTCATGCTGTTAACGAGGTCAATTTTTAAGGGTACAGTAACTTTCGGGATTTCATTTGTTTTTTTAAAGGGAAGTTTCGATTTTTATTTTTTGGTGTTTAGTTTCGAAATATTAATTTGATTAGAATCATTTTAAGAATAAAGTTTGGGTACGAACTTGTAGCATATGAATAATCTTAGTATGATGTTTTGTTATTTTTTATTCCTAGAAAAGTACGGTCCGTTTTGTTCTTACACTTTTTTATTATTTTTTTTTCAAAGTAAGGCAAACAAGAGAAAATATATATTTTCTTAAATAAATGGATACGCTAAAACATCTTAACGGGGCAAAAAAATCTCTATTTCCAAGTGTAAAACCAGAAGTTTTTCAATGGAGAGTTGAAGAACATTAATGGAAAAACTAAGAAACTTCAGTGGATAAATCGAATATGGCGAAGTCTTCAATATAATGGGAAAGGACGCAACCCTTCCCTTTAGGGGTTAATCATACCTTTCTTTTCCTCCTTTTCTGCTAGAGTTTTAGTGAAAATATGGTGGAGAAAGTTGTGGTTCACAAGCTAGTATAATGAAGATGGAGGAAAGCATGCAGGAGATGGAGGATGGAGAAGATGAGCCAGAAGAAAGGGACGAAAAAAGTACAAAAAAAATATTAAAAAATTCATACAATTCTTCAAATTTACAAAAATCCCATTTTATGTTGAGGTATAAAAAATGTATCTCTGTTTGAGGTACCGGGGCCGCCTCATACCATACTTTTCAAAGAATATAAAATAGCAAAGCATCACACGAAGTAGATCTTCACTAGAAGAAAGAGGAAAAAAAAAAACATACAAAGTAGAAGTAATTTAAGGTTGAGTTTAAAGCGGACCATAATTAGCTTGCTATCAAGGTTGGGTTTATGACGAACTTTATAAGAATTATAACTTCATTTGTCTTAAGATATTTGTCCCATTTTAAAAATTTAAGTGGTTTTATGAGAAGTGTATGTAATTTAATGGTTATCAATTTATCAATACTTTAAAACAAAGTAATGTGAGTCTTGTTGAATTCCTTCTCAATTTTTTGTTCCAAAATGTATAATTTTTATAATATGTATCTTAAAATATTCGGTCATTTCACCAAATGTCACCGAGTACTTAAAAAATTCACCAAGTGTCATCACGTTTTTCAAAATTCACCAGATGCCACTGAGGTTAAGTACAATATCACCAAGTGTCATTTTCGTTAGTTGTCCGTTAGTTGACCCCACCACTTGCCACGTGTCATCTTTTGATTGGTCCGTTTTTTAAAAAAAAATTAAACAAGAATAAAAAAAAAAAAAAAAAAACCAAACCCCAGCAGCCACCACCCCAACCATCCCTTGCCGTCGAAGCCAGCACCGGAAGGCACGCCGGCGGCCGGCAGACCCCCACCCCTCCCCTTCCCCTGTCGCACCACCCACCCTTAGCCCAAACCTCTAACCCGCGAAACCCACCCCCCTTCCTCCACCACCCCAAAACCCCACCCCCTTCCTCTCCCTTTTCGATTTCCGGCCACCCCACCCAAAGCACCCTTCCCCTCCCCTTTTCGTTTCCGGCCACCCACCCACACAACCCGAAACCCCTTTTCGATTTGTGGGTGCTCGTTTTTGGCTCGAATTCCGCTGGTTTTCTTTACATCTTGTGTGTAATTTCTTCTTCTCATTGCAATGTAAGTATTTCCATGTATAATCCTTGCTTCATTGTCGAATTTCATGCAAATTTGTGAAAAATTCGAAAACCCCCTTTGAAAAATCGATTTGGGGCTTTCTCGTGTGATGCTTGTTTGATGAAATTGTTTGTCCCATGTTATTGCATTCTTGATTGTGAGCATTTTGATAATAATTTTGTAGAAAATAGTGAAGAAATGAGCATGTTGTGTTCTTGCCTTCGAGCTTGAACGTGGGTTTTAATGGTGGTGGAAAGATGACGAAGAGGGAATGAGGAAGGGGCGAGGCCGCCGGTACGCCTGCCGGTGAGGGTCACCGGCGGCAGGGAGGGGTCTAGGGTGGGGTGGGCGGCCTGCCGGTGAAGGTGGTAGAAGGGGTGGTGGGTGGGGATTTGGTGGTTTTCTTTTTTATTAATTTTTTATAATTTTTTTTAAATATTGTTGGTTTTTTTTTTTAATTTTTGTTTATTTTTTTTAAAAAAACGGACCAATCATAAAGTGACACGTGGCAAGTGGTGGGGTCAACTAACGGACACTGACGGACAGCTAACGGAAATAGCATTTGGTGTTATTTTACTAAACCTCAATGACATTTGATGAATTTTGAAAAACGCGATGGCACTTGATGAATTTTGTAAGTACTCAGTGGCATTTGGTAAAATGACTGTAAAATATTTTAAATACCCTGTACAATATTGCATTAAAAACTATGCAAATACATATAGGACAAATATATAGAGCAGATGGAGTATTTTTTGTCACAAACTCGTGTGTAGACATTAATTTTTTATTGTTAGAGTTAATTGGGAGGTGATATTTTAGATTTGATGTGTGTTGAATCAGATAAAATTTCCTTATTTGAATAAAGTATCGAGTGATGTATAAAGGAGAGAAGTCTAATTTATTCATTTATGATCGTTAACATATATGTTGAATAGCACATATAAGGCCACCAACATGAATTTGGTTGTCTTTAAGGTACGGAGTAACTAATAATATAATCTGCCTTTTTTAAAAAGGTTTAAACCCCTTCTACTCAATCATCATCGTTATTAAGTAATAAAGTAATGGCAAGTTCCTAATTCTTATAGGGTTCATTACTTTTGGATATATTTGAATATTGAAAGTGTCTATTCTAAGAGTATTAACATTATTGACTTTCATTTCATTATCATGTAGGTTTAGAGTTTGATTGTTATTCGCTCGTCTTCAATTGTCAACCTTGCTATGAATTTGATTTAAATGAAAATAACCAACTTCTGCTTTCTTTTTATTGACTTGTCCATTTGAAGTTTTCACAAAATTTTTCCAAATTAAACTATCAAGGTTAGTGGAAAGAAATTTTGCCGTGAATATATGGAAAAAATAACAAATCATGAATTCTCCAAAAAAAACAATGGTTTATTTACAATTTTTATACCTTAGCTCTTAGTTTCTCTTGGAATTTTAACAAGGAGACATTTGATTAACTCACATGTACGTATGAGCATAATTATGGCGCATGGTCAGTAAGACCTAAGCAATGAGTTTCGTTATTGATAATGAAATTGACTTTTCAATAATGTGTAGATGCATATGGAACTAGCTTCCTCTTTCATAACCAACTTGTCACCCACGCAATGGAAATTTCAGATGAGACATGTCCATCTTGCTCAGTTGCTCCACATCTTTGATTAAACATTCCTCAAAATATCTTAACCTTTATAATTAATCTTGTTAGTTTAGGTTAAACACAACATAAAAAAGATCTTTTCAAAATGTTGTGATATATTTCACAAACATCGTCCTTATTTAACGCGCATGTTTTTATTTTAGTTATCTGTGGAATTTTTTATTTGATGGCTACAACCTACAATGTTAGGTGATAAAGTGAATTGTGATATGCGATTTTGGGTCTTGCGACGACTACTAAAAGTTACTAAATTTGTGATGATTATTGTTAAGATAAACAATTCTTTTAATTGATAAGATCAATCCTTTAGATATTTCTTCTCGATCACATGTTTCCCAAATCGCTAATTAACTATCTAACATCGATCCTAAAATTTGATAGGTTGTCGATAGCTTTTATTTGCTGGAAATTTTTAGTCATCCTTGATTTGTTCTTTATACATCGAGGGGCGAGGAATAGTGTGGACTTGGGAAAAACTATCTATTATTTCGATGATATTTGATATTTTGAGGCGGCACTTAAGACGTGTTCAACACTAGTTTTTAGTGGCTTGACAGTTTAAATCACTATATAATTTATAAAAACTTTAAGCGTTTGGCAATACAGTGAGGCACAGAGTAGCTAATAATGCCATGGGTAGCTTTTATTAAAAGTTTAAATTATTGGTTTTGAAGAATGAAAGTAGTTGTTTATAAATTAATATATACTTTTAGGGAAAAAAATATAATTTTTATATGTAACAGGTAGTCAACAACTATTTTGCCGTGGATCATCCCTTGATTATCTACTTTAATTTCACAATCAACACCTAACAATTAATTGCACAGTGAACAATTACTATCACAGTTAACAGCAACCATTACATTTATATTTTGTCGAACACACACCCTTAGTAACACCATTCAGTTATTAAACCATAACCGAATCATCAATCCTAATCCTTTTATTTATTTTTCACATGGCATGGCAAGTTGGCAACCACATGAAAGTCAAATCTAGATAAGAAAGACACAATGCTCCTTCCACAAAACACTACCATTAACACCATTGACATATTCAATAGCAATCAGATTATTACCTTCAATTTCTAATACCTGAATACTCTTATCCAATATTGAACAAATTATTACGAGTACTCAGTAATTCAAAAAACAAAAAAACAAAAATAAAATTGTAAATTTCCAATCATAAGTTGGAGTTGAAATTTTAAATCAAATCAACCATGTCTATAACAATAAATTTGCCAAGCCATTAAAATAGAAACTTTTCTTTTTTATTTTTAAAAGGAAATAGTTAACATATTTTTTGATTACGAGTAGTAGTTAATTGTCATAAAATTACCCTACATAAATTTTTGGATAGCGTAATAACACCACCCTAAAAAAAAAAAAAAAGAAGAAAAAGAAAAAAGAAAAACCACCGTTGTTATTACGCCATTTTTTTGAGTTTGAAATACCCAAATCTGAAAGTACTGCAATTCTTTCAATTTCAACTTGATATTAACGCAGTTATCCAACCTTCCTCGCGCCCATATATATATTCATCTTCTTCCCCTCTTTCTCTCTCTTCACCGCCGACTACTTTTCTCTCGAACCCTATCTCTCTTCACGCAATCTAATCTCTCTCTAGATTTTTCTCGAAGCTTCTTTGGTTTGCTCATCAATGGCGAAAAGGAAGCTTGCTCAGAGAAAAGGTGCTGCTTCTAAAAAGGCTAAAATTGCCGAAGAAGAGAAGAAGCATGAAGATGCCGAAATTGCGGTGTTTCAGGAAGATGAAGTTGTGAATAAGCAGAAAGAAGAGCCGAAAAAAGTTGTGCGAAAACCTAGGAAGCGTACTAAGCCTGATGTTGAACCTGAGTACTTTGAAGATCAGCGTAATTTGGTAATTTTTGGTTTGATTATCATCTTTTTTTTTTGTTTGATGTGTATTTGTTGTTTGATTGAATTAGTTTTGTACTGCATTGTGAAATTTAGGTTTATTTGATGTGTTTTGTTGTTTAATTTGAATTAATTTTGGTTTAATTTTGTACTGCATTGTGAAATTTAGGTTTTTTTTTGATGGGGTTTTGAGTTTGCTGTAGATTGTTTTCATGTTGTGAGATGGTTTGTGGTGTGATTGTTTTTTAGGGTTTTTAGTTTTGTTCTGAGATTTTGAATTGCATCATGAATTTCCGTCTGATTTGTGTTTTTTGTAAGAGATATTAAAATTTACATAAACATATTACCTGTTTATTGAATTGCATCAGTTTCCTTCACATACAAAAAAAGCCGAATTCTTTTTTATCCCTTTACCTGTAGTTTTGTGTTTTGGCATTTGGCATTATGCCTTGAATTTGATCTGGATTTGTATGTTTGTCTTGTTTAATTCCGACGGCTCTTAGAAGAGAATTTCATAATAAATCAGCAACTTTTTTGTTTTGGAAAATTCCAAATTTGAAAACATTCCATATTTACATATGTTGGAAGAGAGCTAATTATAAATTACTACGAGTGCTTTTGAGAGAAGTTTTATTACTTGAAACACTTCATGGGGTTCTCACTAACTCGCAAGTTAATCTTCACAGTTTCTTTGTTGCTACTAAACTCTCATTACTAAAGCATGGACAAACAATGCCCCATTAGTACTCTGTGTATGGGTTTTACGATAACAATAATCGACATGTCTTGAGCAGTTTCATTAATCATACTGTGTAGTCATAATTTGTAATAAATTTATAGTGATCAATAAAATAAAGCTGATTAACATTAGACTAGAGAAGGAAACAAGTTGTTACCTTGGGCCCAAAACAACCCCACTATTCTTTCTCCTGGAAAGGCGTGGCACAATCAAATGACTGAGGAATATGCACAGGTGAAAAAGAAAGCAACCATGCTATGTTGGCAATGATTTCATGGGTCTATGTGCTTAGCAAATAACAGGATACCTTGCAATTAGTCCCACACATACATTCACCACCTAATAAGAAAACAGCTAGATGTGGAAGTATGTTTTTGTGTTGTACTATGAATGATGTAACCCAAATGCCCAAATTACAATTGATTTTTTTGTTTCTTTTCCAGGAAGATCTGTGGAAAGAAGTATTCCCTGTTGGTACAGAGGTATGACCCAGATTTATTCTGTTTAATTTGCTTTTGCTTCATTTTTTTTGGTAATTAGTTTACGATAATAGGCCATATTGATAAGTTTTCTTTTATTTCCAGTGGGATCAAATGCACTTGGTTTACCAGTATAACTGGAACTTTACAAATTTGGAGGTATGTTGCAAAGGAAAAACTAGTTTGGTACTCTTTTTTGCAATGTTTTTGGTGTTATTGTGTTCTTGACTAGGCATTGCTAATTTTAACTAATTAAATGTTAATATGTTTGTCAGAATGCATTTGAAGAGGGAGGAGTGCTGCATGGAAAGAGAGTCTATCTCTTTGGTTGCACTGAACGTATGTTTTTTTCTTGCCTTTTAACTGTTCTTGATTAAGTGATGTTGATGTTATACTTTTGGTTCCATCATCAATGTTATGAATTGAAAGCTCATTTGCTTTAGCTTTTTGAGAATATTTGGTTGAGTTTTTCACCCGTTATTTGTTTTTTCATTTATGCAGCTCAAATGGTTCCTCTCGATAATGAGATGAAAATAACTCAGGTTCCTGTTGTGGTAGCGGTAAGTTATTTTTCTTAATAAATAGACATTAAGCATGGTTATTTTGGTTGCAAATAGCTATATGTTATGGCTTCTGGTTGAAAGAAGTTACTCAGATTTGCCTTACAAAAGGCATGCTTTCATGAATTCCAAACCTGTTTAGGGCTAAATATTGCTATGATAAGTGTTCCGAACTGTACTTCATTCTCTGGGAGTCTGGGACTTTCCACTACTAAGTTTGAAAGAATATTTGGGGCAGTACCTTATACAACTATTAGGTGTAAAGGGTGGTGAATTCATCATCTCGTCTCAATCTTAAGTTGTATCTGCATCAGGCTTACTCTACAAAGCAGAAAGGTTGAACCTTTCACTTTTCAACAGAATTTATGATATAAAAAGTGTGCATGAAACATTCTGCCTATTTCCATTATTAAGCATCCGAAAGGCTAAAACTAAAATTGAGTGTTGGAAGAATGGAAGATAAATTACTTTCATCAAATTTCCAGCTTCATGTCACAATGTAGGATTCTCATGTTAGTTGATCCAGATAATATACTTATTTTTCCAAGCTTTGCATGTCTTCCAACCTTCATTTTAGCTTATATATTTTTTACATGTATATATTTGAGCAAAAAATGCTTTCAATCTGCATTTTAGCTTCATTGTCGTATAGCCATACCAATTTTAGTTTTAAAGGCCTTTGTTTAAAATTGAAGTTGTTCCTTGCTTCCAGTTTCTTTGTATTCCCTCCATCCTTTTTATTTGCCCAATTGCCATTTGCACATGAGAAAATGCAGAGACAATTTCTTAGAAAGAAAATGCAGGGAAAATGCAGAGACAGTTTCTTAGAAAGGAAATGGAGCAAGTAAAGAAAGAAATTAAACCTTTTTTGTCATATTTTTTTCTAGTTGCTGTATTGGTTTGTCTTTACCTTGTTTATTAACTGATATTGTTCTTTGTAATTAGATTGTGTCGCAATTTCCCCCTTCGGATAAGATCGGCATCAACTCAGTTCAAAGGGAGGCTGAAGAAATTGTTCCCATGAAGCGCATGAAGATGGACTGGGTACCATATGTTCCATTAGCGAATAGGTACCTAATTTTGAGAGCTTCCCTTTGTTTGTGTATATTTTTCCTTTTGGCTTATCCATTGTGTTTCAATAGCTGATGGCTAATAGTATGGTGTCTTAATTTTCAGGGATATTATGGCAGAAAGGTTGAAATCTGAGATCTTTATCTTGAGATGCACTCAGAGAAAGTATGTTTCAGTTTTGGTCATTTAGCTCTTTAAATGGTTTCTTCTAGTGTTCTAGTCTATGAAGTGTTTGCAAATTTCTTAATTGAGTCTTTCAGCTACTTTGTCTGTCGTATGGTCCAGATAGAGTTCACGAAACATGCAATCGTTCTTGTCTGTCCTGAGACTCCTGACTAATTTACGCTAATTTCCTTTTTTTTTTTTTCTTTTTAATAATAATTTGGGCACAACTAGTCTGAAACCATGTCACAGCCTGGCTACGTTGATTTTCATTTGCTTGTGCTGGAGAAGTAGTGCTTGACTCACCTGTATGTGGATCTGAATACCAATGTAGTTTGCTCATTGTTGCTGTGTTGTCATGGTGAGTGACCAATTTGTTCCATCTGAACCTGTCTTGGTGTTTCAAAAAAGAAAAAACAAATAAATAAAATAAAATTCCCCCTCTATTTATATGAACCGGTGGAGTTTTGTAGCTTCGTGTAGTATTGTTTTGATAATCATAAGAAGTAGGATAATGAATTAGTGTAAACAAACTCCTTGTAATAGCTGACAAGTTACCATTGTTGATCGGATGTAGTAGGATTGTGATTATAAGGTTATTGGGAGGGTAAAGAAGTTGTCAAGTTGTCTTGTTCAATGAACAAAGAAGATGAGTTTATAATGGCACTTGTTCGGGCGCATTAAGTTTTACTCTTTACTCTATGGATGTGCATTCAAATTTGGAGCTTCACAAATTTTATTTAATTCTATTCTTAATCTCTTTACTCTTTAAATTTATTCTTTATCATAGAGTTGCTATCCTGTCTAATATTTATTTCATTTTGATAACCCTGTTTTGGTTTCTATTAGTATCTATAGTTGGTAGCTATGTGGAACTCTTATGCTTTTAAGCCGAGCTGTTGAGGCGTTCTCATTTATAATTTGTTTGATATCTGCAGGTCTGCGTTAAGGCATTTGAAGGAAGATCGTGTCAAGGCATATGAGTATTGTTTACCTTGTGAGTTTCCAACACAATTTGTTTGCTGTCCAGTTTCTAATGTAATGGCTTATAGAGCTCCAGTGAAAATAGAAAACCTGACTCAAATATATGGATGGTTGACTTCATATCCATGTTTATGGGAAAGGGTATATAACCTTTTATGTTAAAATTCAGTCTAAGCTAAAATTTGTTGCTCGATTTCATATTATAATCTCTCCCCTTGCACATTAGTATGTTAAGAGACATAGTAGCTGTTGGCTGTGTTTGGCTGCACGTACCATAATATCAGCATAGGGAAACTCTGATAGCTTGATACAACTATTCGATTCTTTGTTCTACCATGCCATGTGGCCATTATATTATTTTGTAACAAAATTATGCTAATGCCTAACTTTTTGGCAGATATCTACCAGCCCATGAAAGAAGACGAGCTTGAACAGAATACTGTTGTCACATGTTTATTTGATATGGATCTAAAGCCGGTAAGATTTAGTGATCTAAAAGTTTGATGGTTTTATTGAACAACTTTCGTATTTTCTCAGGGTAATTATGAAAAAACCCTAAGATAATCTGGAAAGTAACTTCTTTTTCCACAGAAGGATTTGACTTGCATGTTTTTTGTAATGAAAAGTTGGAGAGCTACTATCATATTTGTAAGTGGGATAAATGAAACTTTAGGCAGAAAGATCTGTGAGTAGAGGAGTAGAGAGAGGTGACGTAAAAGAGGTAGATGAGGATGAGGAAATGGGATATTAAGATAAACAGAGGGATGGTAATTGTTGAGTTTGGGATTAGAGTGGGGGTAGACATCAATTTTTATTTTATTTTATTTATTTATTTTTTTTTTTTTTTTGGGGGGGGGATGTGTTAAGATATAAAGAGGTGTTATGGCATGGATGCTGTGTAGGTTAATTGAACTATTAAATCCCTTTGTATTCCGCGCAACTATGAACTCAACCTAGTGCTGCAATTTCTTTCTTCTTTAATTTCAAAATTGGTGGAATTGGTGCAATTTGGTTATTGAAGGTGCTGGCTCACCAATTAAGCTAAATTTGTTCACATCTACCTGTGTATTTTTATATATTTATATCTATTTTTTAAAAAATTGGTATAACACAGCAACAAATGTTTTAGTTTTTAGATTTTGCTGTAATTTGATTGTTGAATGTGTTGCCAAACTTGTTCAAATATACTCAGTTTTTTTGGCAGTACACAGAAACATACGTTTTAGTCTTTATGTTTAATTTGATGTCCTTTGATGATGACAAATATCTTAATTTATAGATGGTGACATTCTATGTAATATGATTGAATACCAATGATTTTTTTACTAACTTGTATTTGTTACCTGTTGCAGGTAATGATTGAATTTGATTGGGAATTTGATGAAGTCGAGGTATGATGTCTGTTACCTATTGCCTCTGTATATGAAGTCATTTTCATTCTGTTATAACCAAGCAATTCTATTGTCAAGATTTTGCTACATCAGATATGACCACATAATAAGAGAGTAACATGCTGAGAGTTTGTTGTGAATTCTGTATTTATCATTTATTTATTTATTTTTTGACTATCTTGGTGTAACGGACTTCTATAAACTCTCAAATTACAGTATGTGAACAGTAACTAAAAAAATAGGAGAAGGTTGATTCTTGGCATTAATTGCTGAAATTTAATTACAAGGATAGTAGCCTGAGGCTACCATTCTCCAACTAGTAGCTTTAGGCTACAACACTCAAATGCGTAAGCAGAAAATACAAATAACTGACTGCCCTTTCATGCTACTTTCTCGTTTTGGCATTTATATACAAAGTTTGTCTGCGTTGACAACTACCCATAAGGATTCTAGTTGGTGTCCACTAAGAATTGTGGCTGCTGCTCCTGTCCACCATTCATTGTGGTCTTCTTTGTCTTTTTCTTCTGGCATCTTTGAAAGGCAGAGGTTGCCTCTCTTGCTCCATCCCACTTGGTCCTTATGCTTTGCTCCTTCAATTTCAGGAATACACTGATAAACTTGTAGAAGAAGAGGAACTTCCTTCAGAGGAAAAGGATAGATTCAAGGTTTTGCTTTGAGCTATGTGATATTTCAAATTTTCTTTTACTTATCTAAACCTAACGTGAGGAAATTATCTGTTATTGCCTCAGGACTTTCTTAGAGAGAAAGTACGGGAAGCTAAAAAGGAAAATCGGGAGGTACATTATAGACAAGACTTGGGCTTTGGGAGTGTGTTGTAATTATAAATTATCGTCATTTAATATGTTATATCATTATTTGCAGGCTAGGGAAGCTCGTAGGAAAGCATTGGAGGAGATGAGTGAGGAAACAAAAGCTGCATTTGAAAATATGAGATTCTACAAATTCTATCCTGTGGCTACACCAGATACTCCTGATGTATCAGGTGTGAAGGTAGAGTTCTGATCACCTTTTGCTGTTGTTTGATGTGCCTGTCTGATATAGTTAGATATCCTTAGATAAATAACTCTTTGTTAGTAGGGAGCCACACTCCTTTTGTTGGTTAATGGCCAAAATGGGCATTGCTTTAGTGGTAGCCCTGGTAGGGCAGTGCAGGTGCCCTGTTTATTATTACTAAGTATTTCACCAAGTTGTTGGTGTTACATATTATCTGTGAATATGTCTTGCAGTGGCCTACTATTATGCAAAAAATTTGAAAAAAAGGTCAAGCAGGTTTCTGTTTAGCCTCTTTGTCTTGTGGTATATGTTATTCTTTGCTCTGTATGACGAGATAGTGCATGCCGCCATTTAAAACAAGTAATGAAATATAGTGCTTATCAAAGTTGACCATGATATCTCTCTGGTCTTACCTCTACGTTTGGGCTCAATTCTCATTCATGCTGGGAGAGGCTGGGTTCCCTACCTACTTTCCTAGTAGGCAGGGGCGGACCCACGTGTAGTCATAGTGTGTCACAGGACAACCTATTATTTTATAAAAAAATTAAACACTAAATGTCAAGAAGTTCAGCTTGCAGCCTAGTGGTTTTTTTACCACCCATCACACGCGAGATGTGGGTTCAAACCCCATTACTGACATTTTTTTTCTTTTTTTTGCTTTATAACCTCACACCCAATTTTCAACATTTAGAAATTAAAACTTGGGATTCAGAACATTTCCCCCAAATTGTAAAACCCTAAGTCTCTAACTCCCCTAAATCGAAATCCCCAGACCCCACCCGCAGGCCCGTAGCCCCGCCACCGTTCACCGGCCAGTTTAAGCTCCGTACTCCGTCACTCCATTTTCTCACCGTCGCCAATATATGGTTCGTCCGTCAATGTCAATCTGTGGCTCATACTTTGTGGAAAATTAATACTTTGATGTATGTTGCTCAATTACAATCCATTGTCGCTTCTGCTGCTCACAAATTTCCCGATCTTCTTCTCTGTTTTGATCTTCTCTCCGATCTCATTTCCGCCATTAATGACGAACCTAAGGTTCCATTTCTTAATTTTTTTCTCCTTTTTATCTTTTTTCTACTTGATTAGATCTATGTTGCTGCTAATTGTTCAAAATCATGGAATTTCAGCATGTTTAAGTTTGTATTGCAATCAATTTAATTATTTTTAGGTTGTTTAAGTTGAATTTTGAGAATTCTAGTTGCAAATTATACTGGCATTTGGATTGTTTTAGAGAATTATTAAGTTTTGATTGGGAATTCTTGCTTAAATTATGAATGGGCTTGATATGGATTGAATTAGGAACCTATTATGTATTTATGTTATGGCAAAGAAAATGTGAAGATGCATTGTTTTCGCTGCTGGTTTTGGGTGGGCGGAGGCCGGTGCGGCACTTGACATAGTTAGCTATGGTTAAAATTATCTGGAAAGGAGATCCTAGTTCGATATACTCAAGGGCTAGTGCTCTTCAAGGGTTTCTTGCTGGCCATTCACATGCAGGAGGGTGGTTTTGGTGGTGGTGTAGGAGGAGGGGGTGGTTGTTGGGGCTGGGCTGGGAAGTGGCTGTTGGGCTGGGTGGGGAATTGTTTAATTAATTTTTTTTAGAAAAAAATAGACCATTCACATGCAGACACGTGTCAAGTAACCTGCTTTTTTTATGTATTTTTTTTGCTAATCATACAAGCTTTGACTATTTTTTAATATTATATACGGTCAATAGACGATGATGGGACAACCTATTACTCAAATCCTGGATCCGCCACTGCTAGTAGGTGGTGCATCCAATTAAAAGATTTACTAGGTGGAAGTGTATGTATATCTGGATAATTGATAGAGGAATGTAGGTAGTAGCCTATTACAGAGAATATATATAGGAGTAAATGATTAAAGGTTGTGACACAGCATGAGGTTGGGCTTTATTCTTTTTTCTTATTTGACCTTGTAAAGATTTACTGATCTGAATTTATATTTATTTTTGAATTCACTTTGTATCTCTTATCATAACTTATATTTTATGGTGATAAGAAAATAGTCATACAGAGAAAATATAGGAGTAAATGGTTAAAGGCCGTGACACATTTTTTTGCGTAATGAATTTTCTACTATATTCTAATATTGAAGAGTAATCATGGTTGTTATTACTCTTTTTATACTTTATTTGTTTACGTTTTCATTTGAATTGTTCCATGGATTTGTGCTATATTGCTTAAAATTAACGATTTATGAAAATTTATTCAAGTCAGTAGATATATGCGATTATTGAACTGTTTCGTTTGTAGGGTGATTTCTATGATTGCCAAATATCAAGTGCTTATTTCCTGTTCAGCTTGACTACACTTGACTTTTCAAAATTCCTGACAAGATCATCAGGGAAATTGTTTTTGGAATTGTTGATTACTATATTGTGGTCCCTTCATCTATTGCCAATTTTACTATTGATTCCAATCTCATCTATTCATTGGCATCCTGGTTGTTCCTTATAATGATTATTATTATAATTCTCATTTTTGCTGTTGATATAGACTGCCATTCTAATTTCATATCTCCGTGCAGGCTAATTTCATTAATAGGTACTACGGGAAGGCTCATCAAATCTTCTGATGGATGTCAATTTGGCAGAGTGTTGCTCATGAAGAAACTGCAGCGTCTCTGACAATATTTTCTGCATTTTTTGGAGTGCCATTGCTATGGCTATTAGTTTTAAGGTTGGGAGATTAGAAACTCCCTGGGGTACAACTATGGTTGCTCATTCAGCCCCAAACATTCACACAGCGGAAGGCATTGTCAGACTTGATAGTAGGTGATAAGTAGCAGTTAGTTAGCGGATTTAATTGTACTATACATGGCGACATGCTGAGAAATCTTTTTGTCTACTAAAGATCTTGAATATTTGGAAATGTAGCAAGCCTTTCAAATCATAGTTTATACATATCTGTATTGCCAGACGTCAATTTTCAGATTGCACTCTTGAATGATACAGCGGCTTACAACCCATACAGGATTATATTTTGCTTTCGTTTCTAGTGAATTTGGCAGAGTCTTAGCCTTATGAAAATCCGAGTACAAAATCAACCACGTGTTTGGCTTGTTTTTCATGTCTTAGGTTTTCTCACTTTAGCTCTTCTTTCCCTTCATTTGTTGGTCTTTGTCGCATATATTAGTTAAGTATGAAGAAGGGAAGAACGAGGCTCAACTTTTTTCTTGTCAATTGTAATGTGTTTTAAAACTTGGAATTGTTTTATTAACCTAATTTTAATTTTTACAACACGCACTTGTGTGTAACATTAGCGTCACTATGATTAGACTGATAATCGTTGCACAATATTGAAATACTGTATTGTTTCTCAACTAAGAAAGTGTAGTTAGGATTTGTATTTAGGGAGGAATGGATTCAGGGAGGAATGAATTTAGAATCTTAGGCGGGGAAGGTGAGCATGAGATTGTAGGGGGTTGGAATGGAGTTAGATACCATTAGTAAGAGACTCCATAGTAAAAATGCTCAACCAAATATTAGAATGAATTATACTGCATTCCAATTCATTCCAAATGACCTAACCAAATACCCCCTTAGAGTAGTGTTTGTCAAAAACTACAAGTATTATACTTTCTCTGTTATTTTTAAATATATCAGTTTGACCGGTACATTTGCCAAGACATAACTTTGGCCACTAATATCTTTAATTGCTTATTAGTAAAAATTGTACTCGTAACAAAAATATATTATAAATGTAGACATTGTGACGAATCTAATGATATAATTATATAATAACATTCATTTATTTTATAAATAACAAAAAAAGTAAGTCAAACATGGTATGTGAATAGTATAAAAGTCAAAGTGATGCATTTAAAAAAAAAACGGAGAGAGTATTTCCTTCGTAAAATTTGTTTTATTATTTCATCTGTTAGTTTATACCAAAATCTTTCACCAAACAAGCTATATGATTATTAATGAAATTTGATTTCTTATTCCAATATAATTCCCAACTTGAACCAAATAAGAAAAAAAATCATTTTTTTTATTCTTATCCGATCACTGATACTCATTTCACAATCCTAATTATTCCCTATTTGAGCGTCTTATTTTTAATTTCTGGAGAAACATTAGAATTTTAGCCATAAGACCATAAAACAGAAGTCAAATTTATAAATTTCACTCGTGTCCATTGTTCAATTTGCGACAACAATAAGTTATACTCCGTACTGCATTAAGTCTAGACACTTAAATTTCGAAAATAACACACTTTATCTTTTTTTTTTTTTTTTTTTTTTTTTTTTTTTTTTACTCCGTACCATTTACATTGACCAGTTCTAGTTTCATAGTGTATCTCGAGCTTTCTTTGTAAGCTCTTTCGTTGGAAAACCATATCATTGAGAACAAAAAAGAACTTGAACTTCCAAGTACCAACCAACTACTCCCAAACTTGGTCTCAATTTCCAACGGTAAAGAAAATCACAATTCATTAATTTTCAAAATAAAAATCTCAACTTTACCCGCTTTCTTCTTCTTCAATTCCTGTAAATCCAAATCAAATGCTCCATTAATCAATCCCTAATTATGGGGATTCACAATTCCCCTTCTTCCTCTCTCCCTCTTCAACCCTCCGGTGAACAACCACCTTCAATCACAACCGTTAATCACACTCTCTCCGAAACCCCATCTCAGCCCTCTGATTTCCCGTCAAAACCCCAAATCAACGGTTTAAAACTAACCCGGAAAATCAAGAAACGTGTTGTTGATGAAACTTCCTCTGCTTCGTCTTCTTCTTCAATTCAGAGAGGAATTCGAATCCCTAATAAGCGCAAAAACCCTAGGTTTTCTGTTCGTCGAAGCGCTACCGATGTCGAAGCAATTGCTTTTCCTCTTGGTATGTCGATTGCCGCCGTTTTGGCTCAGGTTTGATTGAATTTCCATATAAAAGTTTTGATTTTTATGTTATTATTATGATTTATGTGGGGTTGAATTTGTGGAATTGGTCTATTTGGGTGTATTTTTCATGGGTTTTTGGTTGAATTTATGTATATTTTATGTATAATTGAAGTTTTGAAGTATAGAATTGCTTTTACTTATTTGCAGTATAAAAAGTTTAGATTTGTTTGGGGTTTTTTTTAACAGTGTTGCTGCTTTTCTGCTTTGGATATTATGTGTTTTATATAAATAGTAAAAGTTTAGTTTATGTAATATAATCAAAAAATTTACTACGTAATTTGGATTGCGGATTGAATTTGAGCTCTTACTTAATTTGGATATGTTGATTTTCTGATGTATGTTGTGCTGAAGTAGTTTCGTGAATGTGCATTGATTGATTGGCGGCTTGGATGTTTTGGAATACACAAGTATTACTTGTAGTATTATGTAATTGTGGAAGTGTAGTTTGTGAATCTTGTAAATTTTGTTTGTGAAGTGAGTAGCAGGACCTTTGGATGCATGGCAACGTTCTATTGCATTTATTCATTGCATTACTTTGACAAGAAGTCGTGTTAATGAGTGCTAAAGGCAGATGATTGCCAGATTTGAATCCTGGCTTTTGTTGATAAGTTAATGTCCATGGTTAACTTGCTTGGGCTCATTCTCTATCACCATACTTTGGAAGTAGACATTTCGTCACATTCTATTATGTTTAATGGAATATGTTGATGGATGAGGACCCTCAGTCGATTTCTCTATGATTCAGATTTACTAGTCTTGTATATATGAGTGGTTATCTATGTGATGGTGACTTACTCACTTGCTCAACTGTTGTCTTGACTTTGCTCATCAACTTGCCTTATGCGATTAAGGCTTTGTTGCCTATCAATGTGCAAATTTGGCCATTATTATCTCTAATTATCTGTAAGTAAATATTATACAAAGGTGGATGTTTGAAAATGACATTGAGGCAAATCTAACATGATCTTATCTGACTATGCTATCCTTGCACATGTATATGATCAAAGATGGTCAACGATGAGTATATAAAGAGTGCAAAAAGCCTATATGGTACAACCTATAAATTAAAGGGAAGTGTCTTACAATATTAGAAATATTTGATGAGAACTGATGCTCCATTTCATCAAATTTTGGTTTTTTAATGGTAGAGTGTCTTGTAAGCAATGTAGCTTTCCTTTGATATTTTCTTTAGATGTTAAATTTTAATAAAACGCAATATATTGACCAAAGTTTTTTTATTTTTTTTTTTAATTTTTTTTTTTAACATCTTTTTGACTTAAAAGGGTATAAAATATACCGTGGTTAGCAAAACAGTTTTTGGTTTTTATTGGCCACCTTTTGCAGTTTCTTTTATTATTATTGAACAGATTTAGTTAACTTCTATACTTTGATGTTATTATGTTAATTTTTAAAAGTTTAAAGTATGATCGAAGAATTAAAGTATTGCATGGTGGTTAGGTCACTTAGGTGCACTTTCTTATAAAGTTACACTGAAAAGGTATCAATTCTGGATGACATCATAATTTGTTAATTTCAACTTTATATCTGATTAAACAAGTGGATTTTTATTATAAACTTTCTTATATGGGATTATCAGATGAGTCAACTCTTTAAGGTTTGCTTTTTTTGGTTATAGTATATGAGTATTGTGTATTTGTGTTTTACATTTCTAAATTATTAGTACCAGCTTAGGATGACCTGAAAAATATTATAGCCATTACTATATTTGTTCTTTGTTTGTATTGTATTTCTTGTTTGTACTTCTATTGATCTAGTCGTTGCTTTCAGATCTTGGAGAAGAAGGACTTGACGAATGAGAATGTTGCCGTTGATCATCTAGCGATGGTAAAACTAACCTTTTTTTTTTTTTTTTTGGTTTTTATTTTATGTTCTACTTTCTATCATAACATATTGGAAGTGTGTCCCCACATATTACAATGTGTTCTTAGTATTTTTGAAGTAAGGGTGGTTTATTTGGATAAAGTTGGGAATTTTTGTTCATTATCAGCTTTTTTTTTAGAGTCAGATATTGGCACTGGATCAAAGTTTTCTGTGGATCAAGGCCTTGTTATTGAAATTATGTCATATACTAAATGCCATTAATTTGTTGTCAAATGTGTGCATCGGTTGTTTTCACAGCCTCTACATATCTTATATTTATCCAATGTTATAAATACATGGCTTACGTGACTCCCTCTGTCTTTGATATACAGATCTGCACTTCAGCTGTGAGGGAATCTTTGACCAATGTAAGCCACTCTTCAATCTAGCGCTGGACCGATATGATTTGTAGTAATGCTTTCTCAAGACGTTCAATCATGGATATTTCCTTTGTTCCTTGATTGTGGCACCCAGGTATTTGGCGACAAGTTTGATGCTTTTGCAAGAAACTTTGAGAAATCTTTTGGAAGTACCCTCAGCACTCTCAGATTAATTAAAAATTCATCTGTAGATGTTAGAGAAGATCAAGTTAGGAATGATGTTGGCGATTGTATCTCTGGTGAAACCCAATCCATCTCTGTAAACAATGGAGATCGTTCTGCAAAAAGATTTGATATTGCAGATGGTTGCACAATACCAGTAAATCATTCTACTGGGGCTCAAGGACGTATGAAAACAGTTGAAGAGGAAGAAGACATTCAATCAGCAGATTCTAGGAACCAGGATCTTCCCCTACAAGGGCATATAAGCTCGCAAATTGTTATTTCAAACATGCGAAATCACTTGAGCAACCATTCAGTGCTCAGTACTGTTGAGAAATCTGTTATTGAGCAAACCCGTGCAAATGACCTAAAGAGTGTTGAAATAGGTCTAATTATGAGAAAGTTGCAGCTGAAAGAAACTCAACTGGCTCTTAATTCTGATTTGAATTCCTTGGAGAGATGTAAATTGTCTCTAGGAATTTCAAGAACATCCTTTAAAGCTGAAAAGTTCAAGAATCAATTGGAAGAGACAAGACATAGTGAGCTCCTCAAAACATGTGTGGACTTTCTTGTTGCTGACTTGCTTATAATGTCAGGGTGCCTTGGCTATGGAGTGTATGCATTTTCATATGACAATCTTCGCCAACTGAGTAGATCATGCTCTGCTTACGAGGTATGGAAAACCTGTTTATTATTGAGATAGCTAACACAGCTTTTAGTGAAACCAGTCATCCACATTTTTGGTTCTGGATTACTGTTATGGAGTCATGCAGATCCTATACTTCTTTGCAGTGGCCAATGGACCATATTTCAACTGAAAAACTTCTGTATTCTTTTTGGCATTTGGAAATTTTGGTGTTTGTTGAGGAAATTTATAGGACCCTTGGGCTCTGTCCAAGAGAGAAGTGACCAGTTATTATTATCTTTTTGGAGGGGGTGGGGGATGGATTCGTTAAGTTTGAGATTATTGCATATTGCAATAAAGTTCCCCAAGTTTTTTTTACTGTGGTTGATTTCATCTTTGTGAAAAACTAGATAGTTTCTTCATTTGTGATTCAAATTATATGCCAAGAGTACTGGGAATACCACTGCCCCAAATTGAGGTTCCAGATTTCTTTCTAAAACACAAAGAAATGAACCTAGCCCATGCTTTCTACATTGGAAGTTGGTAATACCAAAAAGTTCTACCTACTGTGTTTGAATGTTTAACTTCTAAAGATTCCAAATCATCTAATATAACCTTTAAAATCGGAATTATTTTTTGAAAGATTAGAGGTCATGTTTAGGAATTTAGGATTATATGATTTTAGGATGTCCTTCCAATGTGTCATTTTTGTTTGTTCATGGATGCATAGCACTGCCTTATTCTTTATTTATATTTTTTTCAGGTGTCCAAATCCTGGTGGATTCCAAAACCAATGGCATCATTTAATTCAGGTCTCCAGACCCTAAAGTGTGAGGTTCAAGTGTACAGCAGGATGCTGTTTGGTTTGCTGATGATTTTAGCCATTGCTTATGTGCTAATTCAACGCTCTGAAATTTCGAGACAAGCCATGCCAATCACCTTTCTGATACTGCTTTTAGGGGTTGGCTGTGGTTTTGCTGGAAAGCTTTGTGTCGACACATTAGGAGGTGATGGATATCAGTGGCTCATATACTGGGAAGTTTTGTGCTTATTGCACTTTTTCTTAAATGTTTTTACGCCATTCTTCTTTTACATACTTAATGGGCCAATTCAAGTATCTCAAGAGAGAAAGTCTCGCGTAATCTTCCCCTTTTGGATGAGGCGTTGGTTGTTCTATCTCATTCTTATTTTGATTCCAGTCTGTTGCGGTTTTTTGCCTTTTGCGAGCCCAAGAGCATGGTGGGAAGAGCATTTCTCAAAGTTGATCAGAAATTATATGTTAGCTGCCTATGACGAAGGTTATGATGATGGGAGTGGTTACCATAATCACATCGAAATTGAACTGTAATACTATGTATTATTTTGACTCTTCTACTAATTCCGAGTTTCTTGATATGCCTTGCAGAGGTTTTGTTTTGGGACATCTATATCTATGGTAGTATTTATCTAGGCAGTTGTCTTTTGTGTATTGTTATTTATGGGCTATTGTTTAATTAACTGTGTCATATGTATGTTCAAGCACATTGTATATTAATGGTAATGAAATCGCGGTTATTATGTTGATTTATAGTTTATGGATAGGTTTAGATGATAGTCTATGGATAGAGTTTGATATTTATATTTTCTTAAGATTTCCATTATTGTGTAAAAATTAACAAATTTGGGAGTTTTACTCGAAACTTTGGCTAAATGTACCAATATTGTCCATTGTTGATCCATATAAATTTCAAAATCATGAACTCTTAATTAAAAAAACTAGTACAATCGAACCAGAACCGGGCATGTGTCACACCACTTCAGTTCGGTAAATTTCAGTTCCGAGCAGCGCGAGCATGACACATGTACCACCCCCAGTACCCCCCATTATTCCAGCCTAGGTGCAAGTGTGCACTTACATAGTACTTTGATACTTTCGTTGATATAGTCGAGCTTATTTTTCTCACATCAAATCTTCTAAAAAGATGATGGAAAAATACACCTGTAACATTCAAAATGTGAAAGAGCTCCGATTTTAATACATTTCTTTTCCTTCGTTTTTTTATCAACTTACCCAATCTTGTTGTATTTAACTAGATTAGGTCCCGTCTCATGCACGGCAATTTCACTACAATTAATCGATAAAAGAAAAAAAAAAACTCTTTATTGTTACACAACTATAAAATATTTATTATCTTCTTATTTGCATATATAATAAAATGAAACATGAAATATAATGAAAGGGAAAGAGTTGATTAGACAAATGAATATATTAAAACTATATATTACACTATATGAATGTTTTAAATATATAATAATATATGAAAGTATTGAGATACTTTCTTACATGACTACATGCATAGATAAAGTGTTTATGTAAATGTTGTTATATTTCCTTTTTTTTTTTTTTTTATGTTCCTCGTGTTAGAATTATGAGATAAACCAATTAAAGCATTAAAAAAAACAATATACACAATTTACAATACACTTTATGATAGTAGAATATAATAAATAAAACATGAATAGCTGAATATTAAAAGATAAAATAATGTTATTTTTGTCTATAAAATATGCAATAAGTATGAAGATTCTTTTTTATAATAGAAATATTTTGAAATTTCTTAATGAAAAATATTAAAAGAACAAAATAAGCAAATAAAATAATAATAATAAAAGATACTTATAAAAGATTTACAATACTATTATAGCAATAATATTATACTAAAATTCTCAAAGAAGTTTTTGCAAAAAGGGAAGGAGTGGTTTGGGGGGAAATTAACAGCACCAGGATATGACACGTGTTGTTCCTAGTGTCTATTTCAGTATTATGTTAATTAATTGATTATTTATTATACCCAAAAAATTAACATTCTTAATTTAATTAGGGTTTTACTTACATCTTTGACCAAGAAAAAAAAAGGGGTGGTTACTTCCATCTGAATTTTGATTTTGGGGAAGATCAGCATTAGCCCTTATTGGCAACATTTTCATTCTGTGCACTTCTTTTAAATTCTTCCTTCTAATTTCCAACAACACCTTGTAAGTTTTGTAATTACTATTATTCCCATTACTGTGTTCTTATTTATAAGTTAGTTTTTACATTTTTTTTTGTTTAATTGCATATACTGGTCACACTATTCACATACCCTTCCTTGACTATACTTTTAAAATATCAATTTTGAAAAAATAGTATAAAAGGCGGGATCATGAATTATTGATAGGTTCGTGTCAATTTATACTTTCAAAATATCAATTTTTATAATTTTTACAAATAATGTACAGAAGTATAAAGATGTTAATTGTTAAAGTAGTTCATCGATAAACGTGAATTTCTTATTGACTTATTTAGGATCATGATTCATGTGTACCCTAAATTGCAAGTTCGAAACTTTAACATCAACATTACCTCAATATTACTTATACTAGGGATTGAATGTAATTTGAAAGAAATTTGTAAAATGGCATAGGCATGAGAACAATATCCTATTCGAGTACTATTTTATTTGATCTTGGTTCATGCAGCCGACCCCATTATGTTTAGATTAAGGCTTTGGGAATTGTTGTATTTCTTTGATCCCCCGCTACAAAATTGATAGAATACATGATTACATGTACTGATGTACATGACAAATTCAAACTTAATTATTAGCGGATCAAAACTATGAGTTGAGGCAATTTTTTTAATTTTTTTATTTATTTTCTCCTCATACTGATTATGTGCTAATGTTTCAAGAAATTGTTGTTCCCCCATCTAAAGATTTGCATTTTGATTTTCATTGTCTTATATCAGAAACTTCCTAAGAAATTTACAGCAAATGAGATTGCAAAGTTGCCGGAGAATGTAATTGTGAAAGGACCAAATGGAATTATATGGCATGTCAGCTTACTGAGTAATGACAGCAATCATCTAATGTTAACTGGAGATGTTTGGAAAGAGTTTGTCAAAGCTTACTCCTTGCAAAAGAACGACCTTGTTATCTTCAAGTATGACAGAACTGACAAATCTTTTGAGGTGTTTTTCATTGATCAAACTAATTCATGTGAGCGAGAATCATCTTATTTTGTGAGAAAATTTGAACAACCTCAATATAATGGTGGTTTAGATGAACAAGCAAAGAGTGACTCATATATCATTTGTTCTTCTGACAGCACTGCTCACGCAGGTAGTATGTTTAAACTTTAGCTCGTTGATTTTTATTTTTTTTCCCTAATATTACTTCCTCCATCCCAAAATTAGTTTCACACTTTTGATTCTTTAAAGTATCCAAAAGAACTTCACTCTTCCTTATCCCTTTTACTTTTATGTAACATTTAAGATTTAACAACAATTCTAAATATCCATGCCAATCCCAAATGTCAAAACTGTCGAGTATGAAGTTAATTATGGGACGAAATGATTATCAATCTATATTACTAGAGTATGGTTAGCATACTGATATTTATGTATTTGAAACAGATCATGATCTTGCTGAGAAACAGGATGAAGATGAACGCAGGGAATCAAACAAAGACAGATCTACTTCAAAACAGCAGAATTCTTTGAAAGAAAATGAAAGTACACCAAAAGAAGCCCCATCTAATTTTTTGAGGAAAAGGAAGTCCACTAGTATGTTTCTTAAAAAGCTTAAAGAACACATCCATCTTTTTTTTTTTTTTTTTTTTTAAATGCTCTTTAGTTATTCTTTATCAATATTAGCGTAATCTTTTCATAACTTAGCAAGGAGGATGTTAATTCAGTGTGATCAGTGTTATAACTAGAAAAAAAAAGGGGGGTTATTTTGTGCTGAGTTTTCTTTAATCAAGTGATCACTGATCAGAGAAACTACCCTATAAACCTTGTAAAAACAAAATGGCTGATCTTGTGCTAATATGTTTTTGTATTATGTTTAAGGATTTGATAAAGATGAAAGGGATAAACGAAGGGCATTCATTGAAGATGATTCCACTTTAAAGAAGAACAATTCTTCGAAAGTGAATGGCAGTAATTCGAAGAAGACTCATTCTTATTCTGCTGCTTGTGATAACAATAGTGATGATGTTCCACTCCATGAGAACATGAAAAGAAAGAGCTCCACTGGTATGGCTTCAGTCGCTAGTTCATTTACTAGAACAAGAAATTTTGTTTATGTTGCAGTAGGGAACTTTTTTTGCGTTTATGTTTGTATTTCTTAACAAGAACTGTATATTTATGCTGGGTGAATTGAAGAGGAGTGAAAGAGAATAGAGAATAGTTGCCAATTCGGTGATCAAAAAGTCAAAGTTTCAAAGGCACAAGTGAAGTCCTGAAATTTTACTGAAGTGAACTGTTTTTGATGAATGAAGTTTTTTTTTTGATAGAAAAGGAGCAGGCATATATTAAGTTAAGTTTTCAGTAGCTACAGACATAGAGTTGAACATTGACCATAGAGTTAAAGTCTGATTGCAAAAGATTGCCTAGACTACTTAAGCTACTTGCATCAGCAAGAAGAGCCATATTACAACTTAAAGGAGGTTCATCCAAAATACAGTTTTTGATACATATGATTCATGCTATGCCTTGTTTCCTTTGCTAAGATGTCAGCCACCCTATTTTGGTCTCTGCCTTCATATTCCAGAGTGATGCTGCCCATCTCCTGCATAAGTCCCCTGCATTTCATGGTCAGGTCTGTTAGTCTAATCGCAGGGCTAAGTTAGTTGATTTCATTTACAGCTCTTGTACAATCCGAGGCAATAATGCACTGTGTCTGGTTGTTTTCCCTAGCCCAGTTCATGGAAATGTAAATTGCCTTAGTGCAGCTTGGAAAGAGTAGGCCGAATGCCTTTCCAGGTGAGGCCTTTGACCCACTGAGGCACTGACCCACTGACTCATGTGGTTCCTGCATTCAGCTGCACAAGCTGTCTCTTTAGTCTCTGGAATGAAGGATGCATTAAAGTGATTTTTAGGAAGGGAGGTGAGGGAGGCAGCCAGGCACCAGGCCCATAAGCACTGGCTTTAGGATAACTGCATTGGTTTTTTGGGAGTAAAACCATTCAGTTGTAGCCGATAAGCAATGGCTGATAGACTTTTGAAGGGGGTTATTTTGTTTTGAGAAAATCCAGGAACTTCTTCTATTCCATATAGATGGACCAGAGAGCAAAGATAAAAATAACATTCCATGGGAGACCATTGAGGGAGGTTAGAACAGATGAGATATTGGATATGATCCAAGATCTCCTGCTGGATCCCGGGTTTCTTTCACATTGGGAGGTTTCCCTGAAACTCAGAGGCCCTAGGACACAAGAGCTCTGAGTTTTCAGTTTCATGAGGACAAAAAGGTGGTTTATTGTTTGGTTAAGTTTTTTTTTTACAAGGCAATCTATTCCACATTAGTTGCCACAAAAAGAATTTTATTTTTGGATGCCTTGGGCTCTTCAATAGTTTCTTCCAAGGAAGTTGTATAAAAGTGTGAATGAGGTTGTTGAGGCTGCAAATGATACGATCTTTTGCTTTCCTGGAGTCAAACTTTCCCTTGTAAGACCAGTCTGATAAGGATTTATCACTTTGATCAGCAAAATAATATATAAGAAATCCTATTAAACAGGTGATCATCAATTGAGAAGGAAAGATCACTTTCAAGGTTTTCCTTAGAAGTGATGCAGAATTGGAGAGGAAGTTTGCAGCCATAGGAAGTTTGCAGCCATTTGTCAATCCAAAGATTTATAGAACTCTCATCTCTGACTTCCCCAGATTAAAGCATGTTTAACGAGGTTCGAGCCCACTCCTATTGCCTTCCAAATGTGGGAGCCCTTAGATAGATGTTGGCAGAGGGTGGAATCTATTTGCAATGTATTTTTCATGCACGCAAGATTTTTGCTGCCTGATTTGACTAATTATCAACTGACCAGTAGAGTTTAGCAAGGCTAAGTTGGTTGACTTGAGAGTGGTAAAGTAATGCAAGTCCCCCTTGTTCTTTAGGGTAGCAGAATTTTTCCCAAGCAATCCAGGAATATTTTTTGGTGGAAGAATTTTCACCTCATAGGAAGATTGAACAAATTGAATCCAGTTTATTGTCTCTCACAGAGGGAAAGGACAAGCATTGCATGAAATATCTTGGAATTGATTGGAAGTTGACTGGAATAAGACTGATCTGCCAGCTTTAATTAGGTTTGTTTAAAATCAAAACTGATTTCTTACCTTGGAGAAAACATCAAGAAGTCGCAAATTTTTTGCTGATTTTTGTTACTTAAAATTGATTTTTGCTGATTCACTGATGCATTTGTCATGTGCAGACATGCAAACACTGAATTTTACTATTGAACTGAATTTAATTTTTCAAGGATGATTTTATGTATCATTTGAAGAGAAATTGGGCCTTTGTAGTGTAGGTACTAGGTACTTTCTTTTGGTGCTACATAGATTACAAATAGTACTTGATAGAGTGCTATAACATGTATGTTGTGCAGTTGTTGCTGCTGCATGCTATAGATCAAACAGAAGGCCTGTAACGGATGCAGAAAAAGAAAAGGCTTTGGCGTTGGCAAGTAAAAATGCCATCGGTGAAAGCTTCATCATGGTCATGAGACCTTCGCATGTATATAAGCGTTTTTCACTGGTAAAATTGCTTCTTCTATGAATCCCTGCCCTTAAGATCATTGATCAAAATTTGCAGCTTTTCTTGCTAAACCAACTCTTCTGGCACTTATGTTCAGGTAATTCCTCAAAACTGGAAGCCTAAAGGTTTTTCACGTGATAAAAGACAAGATGTGATTCTTAGAACCAATAACAATACATGGGTGGTTAGCTTCTGTACTTCCAACAACCATGGATATGGAGGATTTGAAGGTGGATGGAAAAAATTTGCATTTGACAATTTCTTGGAGGAATTCGACTTGTGCTTGTTCGTGCCTGGTGGCCAAGAGAACAAGCGTTTTGTTCTGGATGTTAGCATTTTCCGAGTTGTTCCTGAAATTACTCCACTTAGCCCTGTACGTAAGAACTACCACTGAGCATGTGATGAATGAAATGCAAAAGCACATTTGTGTATTGGTAAAACGTTGCCTGCCTCATCTCCGATTAGCTTTCCAATTACTGTGGAAATTCATATATATTGCAGCTTATATAGCTTAATATTCTGATTCGAGGTGACAAACAAGTTTGGCTTGGATCAATGTAGTTTAAGCCCTTTGAGGATAATTTGAGCTATCTGATTTGGTTTTGCATTATAACGAGGCCTGAAAAAAATGTCAAATGTCAATTTACATATTACAAAGATGAATTAAAGTCAATTCTCAAGTTGATTCGAGACTTTTTTATTTTAAAAAATTTATCTTATATTCCCTTGTATTATTGTATATATTTTGCTTGATCATGGATTTACTTAGCATGTTGTTTTGGATTGAGTGATCAAGTAGCTAAAAATTTCCCTATTCACAATATCACATTCATGTGATTTTAAAAACAGTTAAAATGCGATTGCAATATGATTATGAGGCCAATAAATTTCTAATTGTTATCATTCTTGAGAATTTTACACTATCACATATTCACATTTCCTTAAAATATACTCACACCCTACATTTTAAAAGTGACGTGTCACTGCCGCCATGGCGTACATCCATGTTTACCTCTCATGGATAAGATGCTAGTAAGACACCTTATACCCTAGAACCCTACAATCTCTTAAAATTTTTGAGAATCTATAACTAATATTAAAGTAGCGACCATTGACATCATTTTATTTTAAGATTAGACACATGTCAAGTTGTCATTAAAAATTTTCCCTCTACAACAGTAAATGATGTCATCATTTTGTGATTTTTATTTTATTTTATTAAAATTCTGGTCAGCACGTACATTATAATTAGTATCAATTTTCTAAAAAGGATCTATTCTCTCCAACAATAATAATTTAATTTTTCTTCTTTAAGTACCCCTTTTATCATTCAATTTTTCTATGAGCTCTAAACGGGCCAGACGCAGCAGAGCGACGACCCGGGAGCGGATTCCCCACCGGCAGGGGGACAGGAGACGGCCATCTCAAGGCACATCACGACCTACAGGCAACACCCCTGCGCGAGCCTTATTTGATTTAAAAAGTAAAGCTTTGGCTCCCTAAATGAAAGACTAAAGAAATGGAAAAAAAAGGGGGAATAGAGAAAAATTGGATAACAAAAAACCCCCCATCAGGGGGGATATGGCGAAATCGGTAGACGCTACGGACTTAATTGGCGAATGGCAAAACGTGGCCGGCCGAAGAAAAATCCGGCACCACAATCGAATCAGAAGACGGCGCAACAGTCAGCGCAATCTTCCAGAGGTGAGATGGAGAGTTTTCGAAGTTAGCAAGCAACCTTTGCCTCTTGGCAGGAGGTTCGCTGTCCCCCTCCTTTCTGGTCCGGCCGCGAAATTCATTTTTCTACTGAAATGTTTATGGAGTAAGGGTTGAATTCATTGAGTATTCAACTTTGTTTGAGTCCCCTAGGAGGGGAACTAAGTTTGAAGCGTTCGCCAACTTTGATAGACATAACATTGCAAGCAAATAGAGCAGAGAGCTTACTGTTTGTTTCTATTAGAGTCGCGAGCTTGTTGTAGTCGGTCCTAAAGGGAGAATGAAGAAAAATGTAAAAGATTCTGCTCGTGAGCGAAATGGTAAAAACCTGCCTGACTGTGCCGTAACAGAATCTTTTTCTCAACCCTATCAGGAGGCCCAAGCAATGCCCAAGGACTCCCATGCCTATCCGGATCATTGGTCAACTACTTTCAAGTTCCGGCCAGAATGATTGGGAAAGATCAACAAAATTGGAATTTGAACCGCTCACAGTAACAGTAGTAGTAGCGAAAAATCCTTTTTGAGTGCTCATGGGGACCTTCTTCCCCGGCGGGAGCTTCTGTGTATGCTGCTGGTTTAAGCTTGAATTGGAGTTCGCAGGTAAAAAATATTTGATGTTTATTTTTTTGTGATTTATTTTTTGTGTTTAATTTTTGTATGAAAAAGTAAACAAATTTAGAAAATTTTATTTGATCAAATCATGCATCGCACGAGACTAATCTATTGTATAAACTAAAGTAATCACCAAATAGGAAACTTGGCATAATTTTGTGAAAAATTTACCTCCAAAATGTTATATATATTATTTCAAAAAATTCTTTAAAAATAAATATGAAATTCTATTAATGATTTTATATATATATATATATATATATATGTGCAACACATAAGAATTTTAAAGATAGACAATAAGCAAACTTGAATTTCAAAAAAAAAAAAAAAGAAAGTGTTACATAAGTCATTTAATGTCAATTAACTCCATTTCAATTGACTATCATTATTATTCCTCAAAAAAAAAAATGACTATCATTATTTAAAAAAAAAATCTTATTACCATAAGAATTTTAATGATAGACAATAAGTAAATTTGAATTTCAAAAAAAAAAAAAGTGTTACATTGGTTATTTAATGTCAATTAACTCCATTTCAATTGACTATCATTATTTTTTAAAAAAAAAAATCTTATGCACGGAGCCAAAACTAGTATATAGTAAAAATAATTTCATTACAACAAAAAAATAAGTTTAGTTCAGTAAATCTAAGGTCAATTTAGTAAAAATATATAATTTAAGTTTCGTTCAGTAAAAATCAGTAATTTTATAGTATAAATATAATAGAGAACTAGTAAAAATATTTTCAATTCGGCATAAATAATTTCAGTTAAATTAATTTTAGTCTAACAACATTAATTTTAGTTTAGTGAAAATAATTCATTTTAGCAAAAATAAGGTGGAGTATATAGAGTATTTTTTTTTAAGAAAATGTTATAGGATTATGGGAAGATGAAAAATTATCTAAACAAAATGAATAATACTTCGTAGCATTTCTTATTTCCCCTCAATTTTAATTGACCAAGAAACTTAGAGCAACTCCAATGGTTGTCGCTAGGGATTTGCTTGCAATTTCCAAAACTCTTTAGCTATTAGCTTGACCATTGGAGCTAAAAAGTACAATTAGCTTGGCCAAGCTAATTTGCTTGAGAAAAATATTTCTAAAATTTTAAAGATTAATATACTAATATAATTAAACTTTTAAAGATAATTGAGAAAGTTAAGCTCATTTAAATAACAAGCCATTAGCTAACTATTGGGGTACAAAATAGCTACACAAAAAATTAGCTTAAAATCTTATGTGACATGACAAGCTTATTTGAGAATTAGCTTACCATTAGAGATGCTCGAAACCTTGGCAATTTACTTCATTGTTATGTTTTGTGAAAAATTCACACTTCCTTTAATATTTTTTTTTTTTTTTTTGGGGTCTTATAATAATGTTCACCAAACAACTATCCAATTTAACAATCTTCATGATTTTAATCTTCACCATTTTATTTTGTTACTAGGTTTCAAATTTTTTATTTATTTTGTTACTATCTTCATGTTTTAATAATCTTATACTTACCAAATGCAGCAATGTTTCAATAAAAATTACACTTCTGTTTTTGGTAAAAAATAAATTATATTTTAATATTATATCTTTTTGGTCCCATCTAAATCCATTACTACCTTTTTTTTTTTTTTTTTTTTTTTTTTTTTCTCTCACATTCATTACTTTTCAATATATTATTAACCTCACTATCTTTATTTAACAATTTTTAAATACTCCAACTATCTCACTTACTTTTTATTTTATTTAAGTTAATTAAATTGTCTAAAAGTATATGTCGATCAAAGTATAACACGAAAGGAGGACTAAACAAGTAAATAGCGAACTTATTTTTTCTGACATCTAATCTTAAAAAAAAAAAAAAAAAAAAAAAAAGGGAAAAATAGAACCGTTTGCTTACCTACATTCATGGGAAAGAGCTCCGATTTTAATACTTCGTACAATTTATTCCCTCCGTTTATATCACTTGCAAATTCTGTTTTATTTAATTATTTTTACCCAAAAAAGAAAAAAAAAACACATTCTTGATTTATTTAGGGTTTTATTTCCATCTGAATTTTGATTGGGGAAGGTCAGCATTAACCTGAAGAAAAATGAAGAATCCAGAGAAATGCAGGAGGAGCTGGGAAGAAAGTACTTATTGGAAACATTTTCACTCTGTGCACTTCTTTCAAATTCTTCCTTCTAATTTCCTACAAAATCTTGTAAGTTTTTTGTTGTTGTTATTTTTACTGTGATTTTAATCTTGTTTCATATGTTTTGTAACTTTGGGGTAATATTTGTGAGATATAAAATATTTCAAAGTTGCAAAAAATATGAAAGAAAGATGTATTTGTTACTTTCATTGCATGTAACGGAGGATGTAGGAGATAATCATCCCTCCATCTCATCCCCTAAGTGGTTGGAGGTTCGACTCCTCATCCCCCCATTCCTGTGATAGAGTGGGGCCATCCCCTTACAATTAGAAAAAAATAATAAAAAATTTAATTGCATGTATTGGTCACACTATTCACACACTCTTCCTTTACTATATATATTGCGATTTTAAAAGAATAGTATAGCTAGGCAAGATCTTGAAGTATTGTTAGATTCGTGTCAATTTATAATATCAATTGTTATAATTTTTACTATAATATACGAAGTATAAACATGTTAATTCTTAAAGCTGTTCGTTGATCAACGTGACTTTCAATTGAATCATTTAATAAAAAAGTGGGGAAGTATTTTAGTAGTAACAGGTTAGAAATTTGAATGAAAAGGGGAGTTATGGATGAGGGAACTGTGCTACTCCTGGGATGTTATGAGGTTATGTCTGATTAAATTATAAATTAAATGAAAGGGAGTATTTAGGATCATGATTCATGTGTACCCTAAATTGCAAGTTCGAAACTTTAACATCAACATTACCTCAATACTAGGGGTTTAATGTAATTTGAATTGAAAGACATTTGTAAAATGGCACAGGAATGCGAACAATATCCTATATGAGTACTATTTTATTTGATCTTGGTTCATATAACCGACCCCATCATATTTAGATTAAGGCTTTGGGTATTGTTGTATTTTCTTTGATCCTCCACTACTCCAAGATTGAAAGAATACATGTACATGACAAATTCAAACTTGATTATTAGGAACTAAAACTATGATCAAATTGAGGCAATTTTATTTTTATTTTTTTGGTTTTATTTTCTCCTCATTATGTGCTAATGTATCAAGTAATTATTGTTCCCCCATCTAAAGATTTGCATTTTGATTTTCATTGTTTCATCATCAGAAACTTCCTAAGAAATTTACTTCAAATGAGATTGCAAAGTTACCGGAGAATGTTATTGTGAAAGGTCCAAATGGAATTATATGGCATGTCAACTTACTGAGTAATGACAGCAATCATGTAATGTTAACTGGAGATGTTTGGCAAGAGTTTGTCAAAGCTTACTCCTAGCAAAAGAACGACCTTCTTACCTTCAAGTATAACAGAACTGACAAATCTTTCGAGGTGTTGTTCTTTGATCAAACAAATTCATGTGAGCGAGAATCATCTGATTTTGTGAGAAAATGTGAACAACCTCAATCTAATTATGGTGGTTTAGATGAACAAGCAAAGAGTGATTCGCTTAAAAATATCATTTGTTCTTCTGACAGCACCGCTCACACAGGTAATATGATCAAACTATGTTAATTATTGGACGAAAAGATTATCAATCTATTTTACAAGAGTATGGTTAGCAATTTAGCATACTAATATTTATGTGCTTAAAACAGATCAAGATTTTGATGATGAACAGGATGAAGATGAACCTAGGGAATCAAATAAAGACAGATCTACTTCAAAACAGCCGAATTCTTTGAAAGAAAATCCAAGTACTCCAAAAGAAGCCTTATCTAATCATTTGAGGAAAAGGAAGTTTACTAGTATGTTTCTGAAAAGACCTAATGATCTTGTCCATCCTTTTTTCTTTTATGCTCTTCTTTAGTTCTTTATCTATATATAAGCGTAATCTGTTCATAATTTAGCAGGGAGGTTGTTAATTCAGTGTGATCAGTGTATAAGGAAAAAAAAGAGTTACTTTGTGCTGAGTTTTATATAATCAAGTGATCAGAGAAACTACAAGGATTGTTATTATATTATAAACCTTATTAGTAACAAAATGACTGATCTTGTGCTACTATATATGTTTTTGTATTTTGTTTTAAGGATTCGATAAAGATGAAAGAGATAAACGAAAGGCATTCATCATTGAAGATGATTCCATTTCAAAGAAGAACAAATCTTTGAAAGTGAATGGCAGTTATTTAAAGAAGGCTCACTCTCATACTGCTGCTCGTGATAGCAATAGAGATTATGTTCCAATCTACGTACGCACGAGTAGGAAGAGCTCCACTGGTATGGCATCAGTCGCTAGTTCATTTACTATAACAAGAACATATTTTGTTTAAGTTGCAGTGTGAACTTTTTTGCGTTTATCCCTTTTTGCTGATTTTTGTTAACTAAAACTGTTTTTTGATGATCACTTATGTGTGTGTCATGTGTAGACATGTAATCAGAATTTATATTATTTATTGAGTCATTGAATTGAATGAAAATTTTCAAGATTAATTTAAGTGACCGAAAATAATTTGGTTGAAATGAGTTAGGAAGCATATGAAGCATATGGATTTGTATGAGAATGAGGTATTTGATCGTAAGGGATGGAGGAGGAAGATTTTTGTGGATGACTATACAGAATAATCACTTTTGGTTCATGTAGCCGACCCCACTTATGATATTAAGGCTTTGATTGATTGATTTGAAGAGAAATTAAATGCAAATCTTTCCTAGACAGCATAGTCCTTCAAAGTGTCTTTAAAATATGTCTTATTAGTGAAAATCATCCATGGTCTAAGTGATATCTTACCAAAATCATCATCCTCATACATCTCTCCATTCTTGTACAGTCTCTTAAAGTAATCATCATCATCTTCATCATCTAAAAATTCAAACCATTTCCCTGGTTTCAGTTGTCCTTGACTTTGGGAATCCTATTCAAACCATTTCCCTTTTTAATTTTAAGATTCTTTTTATTAAACATAAATAAACATTAATTACACCGATTTATGCGTATTTTTGTCATATATTCTCAACTTCATACCCCATTTTAGAAATAATATACATATAATTACACTTGAATACTTAATGTTCATTATAGGAAGATGAAAAATTATCTAAGCAACTTAAATGATATTTACTCTGCTGACTAAAATTAAATGCTGAGTTAAAATCTTTCTATTTACATCTAATAGGGTAAAATCACTGTATAATTTCTTTCTAGTTAACTGGGTTCCAAAAAGAAACACACTTACAATTTCCAATTATGAAGAGCAGAACATGGGAAGAGAAGATTTATTGGAAGAATTTTCATTTTTCTCAATTCTCTTTAACTTTACCCACCGATTTCACCATCACCTTGTAAGTGTTCTTTTTAATTATTTTATTATATAGTAGTGAAAGATTGATTTACTTCCTCCGTCTCTATTTGTTTTTCCTATTCGACTATTTGGAACATTAGACAAAAGAGCCGAAGGCCGGACCGCCGGAGGGGTAGTATTAACATGCAATATATGCTTGTTGCTTTCAAATTTACATGCATTGCTTGAGTTTGTTACATAGCTCATTAATAATGTGATTTTTGGTGTCTAATTTATAATTTATCATATTGTTTTTAGTTGTTTTTTATTTGTATTAGTTTTATCTATTGATTGACAGATGTTGCAATTAATTTAGGAGTTTAGGACGAAGGGAGTAGTTTTGAGTGTTCGACTAATTCATGCACTTGATTAGTGTGGATTATTGCTCTCAATTGACATGGTTGTTGCTTTGCGGCTTGGGAATGCTCTCAATTTTATATATGATCCTAATTAAACGATGGGTTGGAAGTAATATTTCCTTTGTCCGAAATTAATAGTCACAACTCAATTGTCATGTTATTTCTTAGTGTTGGGTTGGGACATAAGTCAAAACATCGCAAATAAAAACACAGATGGAGTATCTAAGTGTCCATCAATTCGAATCCTCGAGTTACAGTGCTTTTTGGCCGGTTAAATTTCTTCATTTTGTTGCTCTTATGTCATTATGGGTGTTTATTTATTAGTTTTCTCAATGTGCTTAAAACAGAAGCTTCCTGAGAAATTTTGTGACTACATGAGAACTATGTTACCTGAACAAATAGTTCTCAAAGTAAATGGCATTTCTTGGAATGTTAACTTGAAGAAAGACAAGGATGATATTATGTTTCATGGAGATGGGTGGAAAGAATTTGCCAATGCTTACTCCTTGAAGAAGGCAGATGTCCTGGTCTTTAAGTACAATCGACGAGAATGTTTTGAGGTTTGGCTCTTTGATCAAGCAAGTTCATGTGAGAAAGAGACTTCATATTTTGTGAGGAAAGTTCAACAGCAGAACTCTGATGACGACGACAGTGAAGATACAGAAGAGAGTTTGAGCAAGAGGTTCACAGATGATACAAGACAAGATGATTACGATGACTGTCATCATGGTTCTAGAAACAGGCGTAGGAAGAACCCTGGTAGCAGGACACCCAAGAGCAGTTCTGCCAAAACTGCTCGCTCTAGAGGTATAACTTATTCGGTTTTTTTTGGTAAGGAAACTGGTCTGTCGCAAGGCTCTTCCTTAGGGTATTATGTGGAACTTATAAAGATCGGTCTCTTGGCAGTGAGGAGAGGAAAGGGGGTCTGGAGTTTTGCCTCCAAGAGCTCTTAACTCCGAACTTTTCACTAGACCAAAATATCCTGTCTTGGTACTTGGGTAGTTTTACTGTTTCATTGGCTACAGAGAAAAAAAGCCTGACAGTTTTATGTATTCATTTATTCATTCTTTATGCAGATGTTTCTGATGATCAGGATGAATCAGACGAGAATTCTGATGAAGAGGATTCCATCTCAGAAGAGGCTAGAATTACCCCGAAGAAAGCAGCTACTACTAGTTCAGCTAGAATATTGCCAACTAATGGTTCAAGGAAAAGGAATCGCAATGGTGGTAGTCGTGGTACGTTTTACAGTTCTACTACTACATAAGGGTGTGATATTGCATAATTATTTGAGAACTATAGTGCTTCATACTTGCATTGATTATATGTCCTTGTTAAAAATTACGATAATGATGTATATCTTGAATTTTTAGCTTGTTTGGTACAGAAATATAATTAGGAATCAAAGCCCTTGCTTATAATCGGTTTGAGGAATTAAAAGACTAGAATAGGTTCCCTTGAAGTGCTAGGAATCTAGGATAAATAAAAGGAAGCTCCAAAATATATGACGATTGCTTCATTCGTGTACCCTTTACATGTTTAGATCTCCCTTTCTTTTTACATGAAGAAGCAGAGAACCTGATGATAGTTGTTTCCCGGTTACATCCATTATTGTTCTTTTCCCTTCATTTTTTCCCTTTGTTTTCTTTGGTGATTACATACGCTTATACTTGTGAATCATTCGCAACCAAAAAGATATCCGGCAATGGAAGTGGATCAAGTCATTATACAGTGTACTACAAATCAAATAGAAGAGAGATAACTGATGCAGAGATAGCAAATGCTGAGAGAAAGGCCTCGTCAGCATCAGAGCAGTGCGCTAACTCGTTCACTGTAGTGATGAGACCTACCAGTGTTTACAAGCGCTTCTTTATGGTAAAATCATGTATTTAGCTAGCATTATAATTCCTAACCAGCTTGAGCTATAACTCATGCACGTTCAACGGTTTAACCCTTACACTACTTTTCTGTCATGCACGTTCAACGGTTTAACCCTTACACTACTTCTTGGGGGAGTTTGATGTGTGCTTGTTTGTTCTGTCACGAAGAATGAAAGATCTGTCCTCGATGTTAGCATATATAGAGTGGTTCCTGAAGTTGTTCCTCCAACTTTAGTAACTTAACCTTGACTATTGGACGGTTTCATGCTATATTATTATTGATGAATATTTCTCTGTTTTGTAAATTTTGAGCTAGATGGCTGATGTAGATGTACTTCTCTATCCTGCTAGTCAGGTTTACTGCTATGGTTAAAAATGTATGCATCAACTATGAACTATATAGTTATCTTATAATTAATAAAGGATAGTAGGATGTTTAGTAAGAGCGCGCATATCTAAAGTAGCAAGCCACCAATGTTGCTTCACTTTGTTCATCAGATCTTGGCATTTGCCTTCTATTAGCATTTGGTTGTCGCATTATGTGATTGAAGATATAATATGCTTTACCAATAAGACATTTGGTAATAGTTGAGTCATTTCTATCCTCTCCATGTAGAGCCTAATAGTTAAAAAAAACGTAACTTAACGGTTGTTTTTCTAGAGTGAAAAGCTAGCTAGGCAATTATAATGAAAATGATGTTGGAATGAAGTTAGTGAACTTTCAAAACTGAGCTACAATTTGCAGACTTTAACTTTGTCCAAAAATGTCTTAATTTCTACCAAATGACCATAATTCATGACCTACATTGCAATTTCTAAGGCCGACAAATTTTCATCCCTCAATTACATCATAAACTGTTGAGAAATTTCGAGGAAAAAACTTTTGAAAGACTCAATCCGTTGACCGTAGAAATCCTAGCTAGTGGAGTAGACTTTAGAGATTGAGTATGACCACTCAACTTGTTCATCATACATGTGAACAAAGGACCTTGTAAGGGGATGTTTCAAACAAGGTCATTGGCATCAAACGCCCGTTAGTGGTTTTTGTATAGGTCTAGATTGATAACAATAATAATATTTGATGTTATCTTTGCAAATTAATCTAATGTGGTACAATTAAACTAATAGTCCATATCTTCAATCAACGTAATCACCTCCACACTAATTTATTATTTAACGGCTTAGGCTATATGCACGCAAAAAATAAGGTTTGAGCTAACTATAAATTCTACTTCATATGGGATGTATTCAACAAAATGTAGTTGTAGAGCTAGCTGTTAGCTATGATAGTAGTTGTTAGTTGTTTGTATAGCTGTTAGCTGTTAACTAGCTGTTAGATGTGAGAATAAATAATTAAATATGAGTGTTTAGTAAACTAGTTGTTGACTAGTTATTAGCTGTGAAATTCTAAAAATATAGAAGAAAAATTCCAATAGCTACCTAGCTTTTCACAAAAACTAATAATATTAACTTTCCACAAAAGCTACTCCAACCACTAAACTCTACTCCAATCACTAATATTTTTTATGGAGTACTAAGTAATGGTTTGAATAAGTCAAACCACTAAAAGCTACTCAAAAACTAATGTCAAACACACCCGATATTCGAAGAATACCCGTACAGTAAATGCTTTTGGCACTGTGGTTGATACATCAACACTACTTAAGGTGCGATGGATGGAATTTAAGAACCCAAAAGACAAACAATACAGTAGTCAATTAGTGTGAAAGGCTGAAAGGCGTGTCCTAAACTTTAAGAATGAAGAAAATTATATTGACTTGCTATAGTAATACTTTGCTATATGCCTATAAATAGAGGGACAAACATTGGCAAATTACAAAGCACTAGAAGTATTATCCAAAGAAATTCAAAACATATTGTTTATCTAAGTTGATACTAGTACTAATTTAAAATTCTAGGCAAAAAAAGTGTGCAAAATGAATATGAAGGCACTTCTACTTGCAAGCTTTGTGGTTAGCCTTGCTTTCACTGTTGCAAAGGCTAATGTTGGGTTTGCTGTTTATCATACTCATAATACTCGTGAGTAATTCTTTAATTTGTATCTCTTCGATCAATAATTAAGTTTGTTTTTTCCGAATTATATTGATTTAACACTATATATGTATTAATGTATATAGTGAACGATATCATTAATTAATACTTCGTATACTATGTATGAATACTTTATAAACAGCATCGGCGTGCTACCAAAATGAAGACAAGGGACCATGGATAACAGGAGTGAGTCATGCTTTATGGAACAATAGAGGAGCGTGTGGAAGGAACTACAAGGTTACATGTATAGGGGGAGCTAATATGGCTCCGCACCCTTGCAGAGGAGGAAGTGTTATTGTCAAAGTAACTGACTTGTGTGATAGTTGCGCCGGTGATCTTAACCTATCTCAAGAGGCATTCAACGCTATCGCCGACCCTAAGGCTGGAAAGATCCGTATACGATATGACCCGTAAGCATATATTCGTAACTATTTACTCTAGTTTGGTGATATAAGTGTACCAAATTTTTGGAGTCTAAACTTCAGTATATATACACGTAAATTCTGATGATTTTTTTGTTTAATGTATTTGCAGAGTATAAAAATGCCTATTGTTGGAAAAATGAAGATAGGAGCAAAAGAGCTAAAAGAAAATGAAATGCACTATATAAAGTGATGCTTGGAAGTAGAGTTGTATGGTCAATTATCAATCAAATAAACCCTTTTAGTTGCTCTTATATCGCTATATGTATAACAAGTTACATGTAAGAAATTGTTGGCTATATGCTTATATGATTATTTATTATATCATCTACTTCGTATTATACTACTTGTGAATTTAAGTTTTGAAATAGTTTGATTCATAACTAAAAATTAAGTAGTACTTTGTATGAGTAAGGATAAATTGATCAGTAACATAAATTAAGAAATTTCCAGGTAAAAAATTGTCATCATATCAAACTTATGTATATTCAATCTCCAATCACTAGTTGTGTCCAATTTCACGAACCATGCAGTACCGTGGGTACTGGCTACCAACAATATTAACAAATTCATTGATTCATTCAAATATGTTACTATATATGTAGATTTTAATAACCAATTGAATAGACTTGATCTTGTACTACTTTTACATAAAGTAAATTAGACAATTTAATAAGTTTTGATAAGTTCAATTTTAAACTCGAATAAGCTTAAATAAGAAGTAAGTTTAGACGAAGCAAAATAAGGTTTTTTTTTTTTTTTTTTTTTTTTCCACATTTTGAAGAAAGACAAACCAAAAATAATTTGCACCCTTAATGAATATTTTACTCTACAAATCAAAAAATTCATTAGTCTCAGCTCACTATACCAATTTATTTCGCAATCGATCTCATCGTGTTAGAACATTTTTGTGGGAATTATCTTTTTAGATTTCAGTTCAACTTAAGTACACCCTCTTGTCAAAAAAAAAAAAAAAAAAAAACACCCTCTTGTAAAAAAAAACCTCTAAGCACACTATATCCCAAAATATCATGTTCATTTGAATCATTTCTCATTTTGTATGGGAATTAAGGAAAGTAATCGGAGTATAAAAATCATTTGTGATTTTTTTTTTTTTTTTTTGTTAAGAGAGCCACGAAGGCAAATGATAACAAACAATCTCAGATCTCTAGATCCGAAAAGAAAATTCTAACCACTTGAACTATCCCTCACTCTCAAATCATTTGTGATTGTGTGAAGTCCTTTGAGAATAATAATTAGAAAATGTATTACACTCCGTATATTTTGCTTTCAATTGGAGACAATAATAAACATGCATTTATTTTACTTTAAACTGTTGGTTTTATGCAAACATTACTATGCGTGTTCTGTACTGGTCTAGTCTCCAAGTCGAAAAATTAATTTTTCCGGTTTTCATTCCTTATCGGTCCAAAATCCTTTAATAATCGGTCTTGGACCAGGCCGGTTTTTTGCTTAAAATTATGCACAACACCTTTAAAAATGAGTAGGATTATCCTTAACAACCTATGAACACTTTAGTCTTATGAGATTTGAATTAGAATACGTAATCATAGATCAGTGACATAGGCAAGAAGCCTGCTAGCAATGCCCGGAAGGGGTAGGGGGATGAAATTTGTGCCTGATGAGAATTGAACCTTGCACCTCAAGAATGCAAGGTGACCTCTGAGCCACTAGTCCAAGAGATTATTCTCGTGACATAGGGAGTAATAGACTACTCTTCAAGTCATCAGATAAGTTATTGTGGTTATGTGCTTGTTTTATTGACAAATGACAATATGAGAAATTATTTGGTTGACAAAACTGTGAAAAATGATTTTTTTATTATTTATTTATTTTTTATTTTTTTTTAAGTCTCTTTAGATAAGCAAATTTTCAATTGAAATTTTAAAAGTTCCCTCAAACAAACAAATAACACTTCAATATTTCATAGCAATTGGAAATCAAAAATACACTTTAATTTCTATTTTATTTTAATTAATATAATTTATTTCGTCCCTTCGTTTTATAATAATTGCAATACTTTGAGTGATACATGTACCAATTTACAACTTTGAGCATTAATATGTGTAAATATGTATTACTATTGGCTAAGCAAATTAGCATTAATACATGTACCAATTTGCTTGGGATTAAAACTTGCCAAAATAAAATCAACATTATATAGAATAATTAAAATATACAAATGTTAGTTAAGGAAGTGAGACTCACTTAAATATTAAGCTAATAGCTAGTCATTGGAGCACAAATTAAATAGCTAAAATAATAATTAGCTTAAAAGCTTATGTGGCATGCCTAACTAATTTGACAATTAGCCTACCATTGGAGTTGCTCTAAAATTGATATAATGAAAATATGAATGAAAATCAATTCAAAAATGTTTTACATGACAACAATTTTTTTTATATATTGATAAAAAAAAAATACTCCTTCCGTCCCAGAATACATGAGACGTTGGACTTTTTTCATTATTTATATATTAGCTTTGACCATAATTTTTTACTAACATAATAAAAACATATTTTATCATAAAATATGTTGTTAGATAGGTATTAATATAAAGTTTCATAATATATTTTTTAAAATAATTTTCATTAATATTTAATAATGTAAAAAAGTTAAACTAGTGTATTGACATGTGTGCAATGTTGACTGTGTCATGTATATTGAGACAGAGGGAGTATAGTCAAAGTATATGAATAGTACAAAAGTCAAATTGTTGCAATTATTACGAAATAAAGAAAATATTTATTTGTTATGGAGTATAAGAAGATGAAAAATATCCACTCCATCTTTTTTTTTTTTTAATATATCACTTTGACTTTTGCACTATTCATACCATCTTTGATCTATTTTTCTTACTACTTCCTCCGTTCCTTAATGATAGTCCCTTTCGGTGAAATTTCACGGAAACTAAGAAACTTAAATAAGTAGTAAAAGTACATTGAAAAGGTAAATTTACATGAAGTATGCAAAAAAGTAGAGAGAGAAAGTAATAAAAGTATATGGAAATATAAAATTTACACGGGGAAGCTAAATTTGCACAAATATTGTTGCAAATTGGAGGGAATTTGGAAAAAAAAAATATTAATGGTTGTTGAAAAAAGCAAATGAAGCGAACATTTTGGGACTAAAAATTGTCTAAAAGGAACTATCATTAAGGGACGGAGGGAGTATTATAAAATAAATACGGAGTATTTCGTAAATGTTATAATTATATTATATTGGATACTACTCCCTCCGATCCATAAATTTGCAAAATTTACCATTTTAGGAAATTTCACAAATATTACAATATTTCCCTATTTTTACATATTTTCACTCTTTCTCTCTTCTCAAGTTCTAATTACATAGTTGTATCCCATCTGATGTTGCAATATTTAGGAAACGGAGAAAGTACTACTTGTATAGTTGTATATCATTAAATTAGACAATTAGTCGTAATGTATATTTTCATAAGGAGTAATTTAATTTTGTTATAATTTTTACTAATAAAAAGTTAAATATAACGGTCAAAATTACATCTCATTAAAAAATGAGACAGAATAAATGGAGCCCAACAGTATTTACTGCACTAACTAATAATTTCTTTCTGGTTATCTGGGTTCCAAACGAAACACAATTACCATTTCCAAATATGAAGAGCAGAACATGGGAAGAGGAAATATACTGGAAGAATTTTCACTTTTCTCAATTCTCTTTAACTTTGCCCACTGATTTTCATCAACACCTAGTAAGTGTATCCACGCCCCTCTTTTAAATTTTGTTTTTTGGTGGTTAGAGCTAAAGGGCGGGGTTGAGAATCGATTATAGGATCTCCTGAAATTGGGAGGGAAGCTCTAACATTAGAGCTTGAGCTATCCCCCATTCTCCTCTTTTCAATTATTATTATTGGTAAAAGATTGATTGATTTATAACTCCCTCTGTCTCTATTTGTTTGTCGTATTGGCTATTTGGAATGTTAGACACCGAGGGAAGTAGTATGCAATATATGCATGTTGCATTTATATGTTTTTAATCTTGATATGCTTTCAAATTTACACGCATTGCTTGAGTTTGTGACATAGCTCATTAATAATGTGATTTTTGGTGTCTAATTTAGTGTTAATTTTGTACTTGTACTTCCTAAGTTTTAAGGGTTGACAAATGTTGCTTTTAATCTGGGATGAATGGAGTAGTTTTATAATTTCAATTAATTCCTGTATTTTATTAGTGTGGATTATTGCTCTCAATTGACATGGTTGCTTTTTAATTGATCTGTCTAGCTGGAGAGGAATGTAAGTTGCCTTTATTGAACATTCTTATTCCAATTTTTTCAATTTTATGATTATAAATTCCTAAACGATCGGTTGGAAAAGATATGTCCGAAATTAATAGTCCAAATTCAGTTGTTGTCACATTTCTTAGTATAGCTGTATAGGTTGTTTCGTAAGTCAAAACTTCGCAACTAACTAAACTTTTTTTAGTCCTATTAAATTTCTTCATTTTGTTGCTCATATATGTGGTTTTTTACAGTAATGTGTTAAAAACAGACATTTCCTAAGAAGTTTAGTGACTACATGAGAACCAAGTTACCTGAACAAGTAGCCCTTAAAGTAAATGGAGTTTCTTGGAATGTTAACTTGAAGAAAGACAAGGATGATATTATGTTTCATGGAGATGGGTGGGAAGAATTTGCTGATGCTTTCTCTTTGAAGAAGGCGGATGTCCTAGTCTTTAAGTACAATTGAAGAGAATGTTTCGAGGTCTGGCTCTTTGATCGAGCAAGTTCATGTGAGAGAGAAGCTTCATATTTTGTGAGGAAACCTCAACAGCATAACTCTGATAATCAAGACGATGAGGAGGATCATAATGATGACTGCAGTGAAGATACAGCAAAGAGTTTCAGCGAGGGCGAGTTCACTGATGATACAAGCCAAGAAGATCACGACGACTGTCATTATGATGCTTCTAGAGACAGGCGTAGAAAAAAACCTGTTAGGACTCCCAAGAGTAGTTCTGCCAAAACTGCTCGTTCAAAAGGTATAAACTTTTCTTCCTTGTGGAACTATCAAAACCTTATAAAGATCGAACTAACTCTTGGGAGTGGGAAGAGGAAAGGGAATCTGGAGTTTCGCTTCCAAGAGCCCTTAACTCTGAACTTGTCACTAGACAAATGCATCTTGTCTTTGTACTTTTGATAGTTTTATTGTTTCATTGGCTTCAGAGAAAAAAGTCTGACAGTTTTATGTATTCTTCTCTTCATTCTTGCTGAGATGTTTCTGATGATTCAGACGAGAATTCTGATGAAGAGTATTCCATCTTAGAAGAGGCTAAAACTACTCTGAATAAAGCAGCTACTACTAATTCAGCTGGAAAATTGCCAACTAATGCTTCAAGGAAAAGGAAGCGCAATGGTGGTACGTTTTATAGTTCTACTACTAAATAAGGGGTGTAAATTTGTATAATTTTTGAGAACTATATTGCTTCATACTTGCATTGGTTATATACTTATATGTCCATGTTCAAAATTGCAGTAATGATGTACATATATCTTGAATTTTTAGCGGTACAAAAGAATGACTAGGAATCAAAGCCCTTGTTTATATTTGATTAGGGAATTGAATGACCAAGAAATAAAAGTTCCGTGATACATGTTTTAGCTTACATCTGTTGTGTTTTTTTTCCCTTTGTTTTCTTTGGTGATTACATACGACTATACTTGTGAGCCATTCGCAGCCAAAAAGATCTCTGGCAAAGGAAGTGGATCAAGTCTTTATTCAGTGTACTACAAATCAAATAGAAGAAAGATTACTGATGAAGAGATAGCAAATGCTCTAAGAAAGGCCAGGGTAGCATTAGAACAGCGCGTTAACTCATTCCTTGTAGTGATGAGACCTTCCTGTGTTTACAAGCGCTTTTTTATGGTAATGTCATGTAATTTATAGCATTATAAATCCTAATTAGCTTATTCTTAGCTTTAACTTCCTGTACATTCAACGGTTTAACTTTAACCCGTGCAATTTTCTGTCATGTTTCAGACAATTCCTTCAGAATGGGAACTTAAAAGTCAATTTAGAAAAGGCCAAGAAGTGTCTCTCAGAATGCAGGGGAAAATATGGGAGTGCAGCATTTACAAAGACAGAACTAAACTAGGTTTTCAAGGTTCAAGATGGAAAACTTTTGCTCGCGACAACTTCTTGGAGGAATTCAATGTGTGCTTGTTTGTTCCTTCTGTCTCGAAGAATGAAAGATATGTCCTCGATGTTACTACATTCCGAGTGGTTCCTGAAATTGTTCTTCCTAGTGTAGTAACTTTACCTTGACTGATGGATGGATTTTGCTGCATTATTGATGAATATTTTTCTGTTTTGTAAATTTTGTGCTAGATGGCTGCTGTAATTGTACTTCTCTATCCTACTATGATAAAGGTGATCAATGTTTATTAATTGGCGATTTTTCTGTTTTGTAAATTTTGTGCTAGATGGATTAAACATAGTAGATGTCTGGTTTATTGGTATGATTAACAATGTATGCATCAACTATGAAAATAGTACGGATGATCTAATGATCTTCTAATTCATAAATGATTGTATGAGGTTTGATCGATAAGATGTGCATCTAAGTAGAAGACTACCAATATTGCTCACTTTGTTCTTCATATCGTGTCTCATGCCTTCTATTAACAATTAGTTGTCGCATTTTGTGATTGAAGATATGTGAAATTTTTTATATACTCCCGGGTGCATGCACCGTGCACCCAACTAACCCAAGGTTAGTTTTTGCTCTTCATTTGATGATTAAATGAAAAATAATCATCAAAATGAGAACAAAATATTTATGGGTGTACAGTACACTCGGGTGTATATAACAATCTCTCGAAGATATGACGTGATTTATTGTTAAGACATTTAATAATAGTTTAGTCATTTTAATAATACTTTAGGGTAGTTTCTCGAGAGTGAAAGCTAGCAAGGCAACTAAAGTGTAATGTGCACCTAAAACACCTAAAATGACATTAACACTATATTTTTTCTGTAAAAGTGTTGGTTTATAGTACAAATTTAAAAATATTATTGTGTGCATATAAATATACCACAGCAATTAATTAATGATTGAAGAAGATTGGAAATAACTCAAATAAGTAATTGAAGCTTCATAACTTACGTACAATTTGCAGATTATAATTTAATCCAAAATACGTAGTAGCTTTATTTCAACCAAATGATCGTGATTTATGACCTTTGACCTACAATTTCAAAAGTCTTCACATTTTAATCCCTCAATTAATCCATAAACTGTTAAGAAATTTCGTGGAAATAATTTTTTTTTGAAAGACTAATCCGTTGACCGTAGAAATCCTAGTGGAGTAGACTTTAGAGATTGAGTATGACCACTCAACTTGTTCACCAATCATACACGTGAACGAAGGACCTTGTATATGGTTTTTGACATTACTAGATTGAAAAACTTTAATTTTTTGTATAGGTCTAGATTGACAACAATAATATTTGATGTGATCCTTGCAAATTAACCTAATGAGGTACAATTATTAAACTCAGTAAAAACTAGTTCCCTTTATAGGGTTTCTTCTTGTGAAGGCTCTTCTAGTTTCCCTCTAGGGATTTTTTCCTTAAGAAGGTTTTTCTAGCCTTCATTGCTAGAGGGTTTCCTTCACGCTTTTCCATTTTCTTTCCTTCTCTTTCATCTCTCTTAGCTTCTTCCTGATCTCAATTGTAAATTTTAGTAGGTGTGTTCACTAGTGATCTTACCAATGGTAAGTCCTTTTTCTTCCAATTAACTCTAATTAAAACCTCTACTTCTCTCTCATTCAATTGTGCATGCAGTGGTTCACTTTCACTGTTGCAAAAGCTAATGTTGGGTTTGCTGTTTATCATTCTCATAATACTCGTGAGTAATTCTTTACTTTGTATCTCCGCACCCTTGCAAAGGAGGAAGTGTTATTGTCAAAGTAACTGGCTTGTCACTTGTGTGATAGTTGCGCTGGTGATCTTAACCTATCTCAAGACGCATTCAATGCTATTGTCGATCCTAAAGCTGGAAAGATTCGTATTCGTTACGCCAACTTGCTTCCCAAAATTTTCCAATTTTTCAATATCTCTCTTGATAATGAATCTCCTAAGGTTGGTCTAGGCTCCCTCACCAAAATAGGTATTCTGTGTCTCCCTGATGGTTCTTGGAAACTTCGCTCTGACCTAACCCCAGAGGAAGCTTCTGCCTTGCCCTCCTCTCTTTCAGAAGGCAAAGGCATCGCTAACTCTTCCACGTCCTCCTCTCGTCTGGATGCTCTGGAGTTTGGTTTAGATGACCTTCGTCGTGACATCCACGACCGTGATTCCAAGCTGGACCAAACCCATGAACTTTTGGCTATTGTAAATGCCAAAGTTAATCAGCTGTTTCATCTCTCTGCCCTCACCTTCACTGCTACTGCAGTATTATGCCTCTTCATGAGGATGCTGCTGAGCATGCCAGGGAAAAATCTGCCAATGTTCTCTTCAACTGTGAACGCTAAGTGCGAAACCGACCCATTCTTAGACCTCAAGTTTCTGAGCCTAATATCATAACGGTTGAGGAATATGGAGTGGTGAAGAAGTATAGGCAAGAGGAGCAGCGCAAGCTTGATGAGATGCAGAGGGATAAGACCATGAGGGAGGCCCATAGGCGTTGGGCTAACAGAGCTCAAGCTGATGTTAGTTTCCAGCAGGACAAGAAGTGATTTGACGCTGGATTCAAGGCCTTGAAATTGTTTTCCTGTCTCTGTTTTTCGCTTTGCACTTTTAACTTTTTTAATGGTGTGTAATTTCTTAAAACTGTTTTCGCTGATTTTTGTTCCAAACATTTTTTTCTTCCTTGTTGGATGTCAAAAAGGGGGAGAAGTGTTATATGTGCTGATGGTTATGTTTGGATGTTTTATGTTGATGTTTTGTGTTTTGTGTTATATTTAATTTATATATATGTTATACATGCCGTGGTTTTGACTTCCATCAAGGGGGAGATTGAAGACTCCACCTTGATGTGCTTAAGTTATTCTAACTTTATGATGATGGATGTCAAACCCAAAATCCAATTAACCCATTGTGTGACAGGTTATGGGCTGTGTAAGTTGTCCAATATAGATGTGTGGATTTAAAGCCCAATACGAATATTTTGGGTTGGACGAATATTTTGGGCTGGATGTTTGTTTAGCCTATTTCACATATATATTCATCTTGTGATAATATTATGATCATATATTTAATTCTTTGATTATGATAAGATAAATATCTCTAACAGATTTATCTTTGATAAGATAATTATGTCTAACATATTTGTTTTGCAGATTCCATGAAATAAGGGATAATGATGATATTAAATGCGTTATTATCCTAACAACTTCTGTTTTCAGATTTAAATAAAGCTGTTTAAATTCCTTGAAGATAGGCTGGAAGGATATTTTTTTGCTGAAGATTAACGTTGCTTTTGAAGCCCCAAAATAGTGCATGCTGAATTATTCAAATAACATTCAAATCTCAACGGTTGCTTCAAAAATTCAATTTCAGAAATCCAGCATCTCAACTCTATAAATAGCGTGAAGCACTTCACTAGAAGGATCAAGAATTATCAAGCTTCATATTCTACGCTAAAGCAAGAGTTGTTAAACACTTTCTCTCTAGTTTATCAAATACTTTATTTTGTAGTTACATTGAGAGAAAAGAACAGGTATATCATGAGTGCTTAAAGTTTGTTATCAAAAGAGTTGATATACTAAGAGTAGTATTATAATACTCAAAGTATAGTAAAAGTAAGGTAACTTTTTATTTCTAAGATCTGAGTTGCTAAAGTGTAGCTGGGCGGCTGCGGAGAGAAGATAGGTTGATCTTTTAGGTGCTTTAGGACTCTAAAGGAAGAAATAAAAAGAAATTAAAATCCTACGGGTTGGATAACCCTAGGCAGAGACGTAGGCATATTTATTGCCGAACTTCGTAAAAATTTCACTGTGCCTTGTCTCGTTTTTATTTGCTTTCTCTTACTTGTTTTATTTCTGTTTAATTCGCAAGTTTATAATATGCCGCATTTATAAAGTCTGTTTTTAAGTTTTGAAATAAATCTCAAAGCCTTGACTTTAAAAAGTGAATCAGTTTAATCCGCCTTGAAACCGAGTTCAAGACCTTGAAATTTATATTTATGAAAAAAATTCATACTCTATTCAACCCCTCCTTTCAAGAGTATATTTACTGTTTATTCCATTACCCTATTGATCCTTCAGGATGTAATAGCTTTTTTCTAATATAAAAGTAATTTTTTTTTTCTAAAGAAAAAAAAAAAGAAAAAAGTAAAATATTAGTTCAAGACTTCAAGTTAGTTCACTTCAGTCCAAAAAAAAAGGGCCTTATTGTGTGGGGCTAACTTTTACTTTATTAATTCCATCACAAGCCCGTTATGTACAACCTTGTACTTGGTATGTATTAATGTATATGAAGCTTATTGATCAAAAAAATCTCGAGACAGCAGAGGAAATCAAGGTTATTAGTTGCATAGAAATGGAGAATTAATTATCGTATTTTCCCTATTAAATTTCTCTTCATCTTCTTAATAACTTCAACCATTTGTAATTAGGGTGGAATTTCTCTTTGTTCAACAAGATTTCACTGCAAAAAATGGAGTCTGAGAATCATAAATCATGGGAAGAAGAAATTTACTGGAAGAATTTTCATTTTGCTCGTTTCTCTCTCATTTTACCCACTAATTTTCATCATCGTCTCGTAAGTATTCCTTATTTAATTAAATTATTGCACATTATTTATTTAATATTAGGAGTATTTATTTTAGTCCATTTCTTTACTTTGATCTTGTAAAATAAACTACAATTATATTGCCAATGTACTAGTACTTTTATTGCTGATTTTTCTTCATTTTGTTTTTACCATTAGTTTATTATGATTATAAATGTGTTATTCCTCTGTTTTTCTCAAGGGTTTGTGAGTTGGCTATGGTCAAGGTTTTTTTTAAGGGTTTATCATTTATCAACTTATCACTATGAGAGGGGTTTTTAATTAGATGTGTCAAAAAGTGATCCGACTTGATCTTAAAGTAATCCGATCAATATTTTGACTTATATGGACAAAATGAATTTAGCATAAGTTAAACTTTAACTTGACCTAACCCAACTCAATCGAACCCGACCCAGTCATCTGAATTTATACCTCTAGTTGTATTCGAGAGGTTTTCCTGCTCTATAATTAGCCCTGTATTTTCCAGTGTGTCTACGTGGTCTTAAGGTAAATTATTGTTGTATTGTTGAGGGAATGTCATTCTTGTATGCATGTCTCTAATAGACTTTTCAGTGAACTGGACAACCCTCGTTGATGAATTGTAGATTCAGTAACTTCAATTGAACTGAAAAATAAGTTGGTTGATTAATTTACATACGAAGAGTATTTCTTTTTGGACATAGTTTACATGTGACACTTCAAAAGGCATGCTTCTCCAATGATACAGAAGTTAAGGTAGGTGTACAAACACTAGGATTAATGAATTGACTCACACACTTAACATTTTTTTTTCTTGACTGAAACTCTAGTAATGGTGTATTGGTGCCCATGAATTAGCTGCTATACTGTTTTACCCATATAACGCACCATTTCTTCTTGCACCATTTATCGATCCGACATCAAAAACTTCACTTTTGCAGCTTGCTCTTTTATAATTTACGTCATCATCTTTTTTATAGAAATCAGTAGCTTATTAGAGCATTGTTTAGCAAGATGAACTTGTTCATTAGGGCCTTGACACTTGAAACAAACCTCGTCCTTCATCGCAAGTTGTTCCGAAGTTAAAGATCCTTTCTTTTCTTTTAAACCCTTGCTGGAAGCATCAGAATTAGTATAGGCTGAAGATTGTTGATCTTAGGGTGGTAGATTGTCAAAAAGACTTAACCTTTGACTCCTGCTTGGTTGCATCAGAATTAGTAGATGCTCTGGCATATCTATGTTTATTTTATGTTTTTGAAAGAATTGAAAATTTTATTTAAGTCTTTTTTCATAAGGGCCTTTCTTTAGATTTGGACTCGATTGAAGCTTTGGATATAATCTTTTTTGGAATGGCGCCGAATAAGATGGTATTCATTGTATTTACAGCCTGTTCAAACTCTTAACAAGAGTCCTCTTCATTAGGGTTAGGCACAAAAGACCAACTCATATTATCAATGTGTATAATAAATACTCCGTATAACTGTATAAGATTCCTAGTAAACTAAACAAATAAGTAGATACGAAGTACATTATTACGACTATATAAGAATACTAATTTGCAACTAAGTATTTAGTGCAAAACTGCCTACTTGCTCCTGCATTATTACGGGCTGTGTACAAACAACAAATTGCTTGAATACACTTGTGAGATGAGGACTCTTCTCTATGAATCTCTATTATTTTGCTTAAGTTATAGGATTTGGATGTTTGAGCTTTACATAGTTAAGTTCAATCTATACCTCTAAAGTTCATTAATCTGATGTAAAAGATTTGAAGTAATTGATATCTATGAGAGCTTGATGAACCTTTTCTTATTTTCTATGTTGTTGGTCCTCTTTAATTTTTAGCTGCGCTTGTTATATTTTGGATATTTTTACATGTAAGGATATACTTTTCTGTTAGTTTTTGCCAAGTTCAACATCTTTTTGGGCCAGCTTACTTGTTCATTGTTCTAATTTTATTGAAGAAAATCTTCAGTACTTGCATTTCATTGCTTTTGTTTCTGTTTTGAATTTTCGGGTTAATTCCTTCATGTTACTCCTCACAATGTTGGATTTTCCAATGTGTAACAATTAGGTGCTGCCCAAGAAATTTGCTGATCACATGAGGACACATTTACCTGAGAAAGTAGCTCTCAAGGTAAATGGAGTTACCTGGCATGTAAATCTGGAAAAAGAAAAGAATGATGTAATGTTCCGTGGAGATGGGTGGCAAGAGTTTGCGAAAGCATACTCCTTAAAGAAGTCAGATATGCTGATTTTCAAGTACAATAAACATGAATGCTTTGAGGTCTTGATCTTTGATCAAGCAAATCTATGTGAGAAAGAAGCTTCTTATTTTGTAAAAAAAGGTCTACAGCCGAACTCAGATGGCAGTGATGATTCCGGTGGAGAGGTAAAAGAGACTTCGGCTGAGGAGCTCACTGATAAAAATCAAGGAGATGATGACTCTGTTGATATTCTTGGAAGCAGGCGTAGAAAGAACCGTGGTAGGGCTCATAAGGGCTAGCTATTCCTTGGGTAGAGCTACTCATAGTAGAAGTGTATGTAGTGAACTTTTCATGTAGTCATGTCTCTAAGTCTCTCTATCTCTCTGTAGATGGTTTTGATGGAGATGACGGGGATGATACTTCTGATGAAGAGAATTCCGTCTCATCAGATGATTTTACTTCTCCAAAGAAAACTGCTACTGAAAGAGTAAGAGAAGTGCCATCCAATTTTTCAAGGAAAAGGACCTACAAAGTTTGTAAGTTCTATAATTTTTGTGCATATATGTATGACATTTGTTTTCATTTTCACTGCATTTCGAATCAATAGTATGTGCTATGTAGTTTCTTGAACTTGTCATCAATGCAGAGAAGATTAGTTATGTTTAATTGAATTAAAGGCAGTTGAGACTTGAATGGAAAAAAAAAAAAAAAAAAAAAATGTGTGATTGACCCTTTTGTGGTGACTTAAACTTTTATATGTAATGCTTCCTTTTGTGGTGATTTTTCAGCTGAAAAGAGTCAAAAGACCATTCCTAAAAGAAAAAAGTCTTTCGCTTTAACATACAATTCGAATAGAAGACCGGTCACTGAAGCAGAGAAAGAAAAAGCTTTGAAGAAGGCAAGGGATACATCCAAACAATACCTTAATTCCTTCAGTGTAGTTATGAGACCATCTTGTGTCTATAAGCGATTTTTTATGGTAAGCTCATTCTTCTGCCAATTTACCACTTTGGCATCAATAATTTTTATGATTATATATTATGTTAACCTTTTTTATGCTTTAGTCGATCCCAAAAGAATGGGAACCTACGTATGTTTTCAAGAAAGGTGAAGAAGTAATACTCCGCGTGAAAGAGAAAACATGGGTGTGCACATTTATTTGCAATAGATATACTGGAGGATTTGCGGGTGGCTGGAAAAGATTTGCTGTTGAGAATTTCTTAGAAGAATTTGATGTGTGCTTGTTTGTGCCCGTTGCCTGCTCAAATGTTGGGAAATCTGTACTGGATGTTAGCATATTCCGAGTGACTCCAGTAGTTGTTCAACCCAGCCCAGTCACTACGTCCAATGTAGATGTACAGGAGATTCCAAGTGAAGATGGAAGCCTAGGAGATGATGATTCTGATTATGCCTCAAGAAACAGGAAAAGGCAAAACAACTCTGGTGCAACTCCTAAGGGCCATTACTCTGGCAGTAATCCTAAGAAAGGTATTTGTCCTTTTAGATAATAAGTTTGTTCTCTATAATGAGAAAGGTTCAAAAATTTTCACACACATGTATATATATTTCTATTCTTTCTTTTATCTGCTGAAGGTCGTTGTGAGGATGAAGGAGATGAGAGTTCCGATGAAGAAAAAACCAGCACAGAAGACTGCACGCCAAAGAAAGCTGCCGGGACTGCTAGAGTTAGAGAAGTAACCGCCAATTCTAATGGGAAAAGTAAGCACAACATTGTTATGTTTCACAGTTGTGTGGATGAACATGATGTTGGATTCCTTTTCCAGTGCTTGCTTACCTGTTAGTTCATGTTAATTCTTTTCTCCTGAAAATTTAAATGTGTTACTCGTATGTAGTTGTATCAGTTGTATGTCCTTGATCTTATTTTTTTTGGTGGTGAAATAAGCTCATGAATGATGTGATGCTTTACCAAATTCTCAGCTGGAAAAACTACCCCTGACAAAAACGGGACATTTTGTGAATCAAGTGTAAGACAAGCAACTGAAGCAGAGAAAAATCAGGCTCTGAAAAAGGCAAAGATAGCAGCAGCTCAATACAAACACCAATATCCTTTAATTGAAGTGATGAGACCATCCAGTGTTCGTAGACGATTTTTCCTGGTAAATTTTCTCCCTTTATTGCATCAAATAATGCATACATTTCATCTGTGTCAATAATCTTCTTAAGTACTTTTGCTTAGATTATACATGCCACTTCCTGATGATGTATATCATGTTCGTTCAGTCGTTTTCCAAGGACTGGAAAATCAGGCGTAAATTGAGGAACGATCAAGAAGTGATCCTTCGAGTTAAAGAAAAAACTTGGACGTGCACATTTAGTTTAAGTTCTAACAATGTTGGACTTTTAAGTGGCTGGAAACACTTTGTTCCTGATAATAAATTGGAAGAAGATGATGTCTGTGTGTTTGTGCCTGTTGGAGAACAGAATAGGAAATTAGTCCTTGATGTTATCATATTCCGAGCGCGTCCAGAGATCGATTAATGATGTCTTGTAACTCTGTTTTTTTAGACTAATAATTTGTTGTCAACATAATGGCCTCATTGATGGTCATTTTGCTACTCTGTAAGCTAGGAGAAGAAACTGTCAAATTTCGAGGTCGAGGTGGATGGCTGATTTAATTTCTCTAAGACAAGGCCTCCCTCTTGTGGAAATGAGATTTTCAATGATTTTGTTAGTGGAAACTTATTTTGTTGATTCTTGTATAAATTTTAATATTTTGCATTGTGAATGTGATACTAGCATGAAAGTAAACAGGGGAATATTAATAAGACCATAGAGAGGTAATATAAAGTCCATTGTATAATACAAGTACTATAATTGATGATTGAAATAAAGGTTTATTATAATATCTAATTGGCGTGTAACCAATCTTAGCCAATTTATAAACAAGAGGGACATCTTATAATCCCCCTCAAGGCCTCAATAATTAAATTCACCCAATAGGCCAATATGACGTAAAGTCAAGTTATCAAAGACTAACTAGTTGTATTAAAATGTAACGTTTTGTTGGATCGTACATAACAGGTAAGTTATTACACACTTTATGCATCGGCAGCAAAACTATTAACCAAAGACAAAGCATTACTTATCAACTTCACAACATAGCCAACCTTTTCACTCACTTCATCATCAACCTTCTTCCCAACCTGAACGTCGTTAAACCCTTCCATACAAGTATCTTGGTTCGTAATCGCCGCACTCATCCACGTCTGCACATTACTCATCTCAAACCTTATGTTCCTCCTTCCTCTCTCATTTCTCCGTCGAGCTCCACTACTCTTCAGAACCATCTTCATCTCATCCAGCGAGTCCCGAATTAGCCCCACGGCTCCTTTCGTCAACTCCACGCAATCTCTAACCACCACATCTTTGGCAGATATTTTATTTTTTATAGCTGTCACATAATCTGCTGTCCAATTGGCTTCAATGAGACTGATCCCTATAGCAACATAGGTTAGCTTTCCAATATCTAGGTCACCATTGTAGGAGGAGGAAAGGGTAGAGTAGCAAAGGTTTGAATAAAGGGTTACTTGACAACTACTCTTGATAAAGTCATGAAGGGTTTTGGGGTTGGATGAGATGGTGGATTCGACGGCGGCGAGGGAGAGGAGGAGGAGGAGGAGGATGGAGGTTGAGAGAAGGGAGAAGTGTGTAAGTTGCATGATTAGTGTATGGTTGGAGATTTTTTGCATGGTAGTTGTTCATGAAATTTGAGGGTCTATGATTAACATTATATAATGCAAACAAGGAGTAGTTTTTATTGGTTACATACATACATTATAGAAGTGCATTATTAATTTATTATTTTAGGACATCATTAGGTGCGTAATCATGAATATATATAATTAATATTTGCATGTCATTATTTAATTGATTGATTAATTCACATGGAAATTTATATTAAAATTGTACTAGTAGCTCTTTTTTCTAAAGGTATGGCGTGTGAGCATGAATTCCTCAAGGCCGTCAAAGGTGTGTCAATTGATCTCTCCATATAAACATAAATTATTGACAAAAAGAATATATATATAATGATTATATGTAATCTCTCTGTTTTTTCTATCAATTTAATCTATATATTTTACAATACATAGCTTTGACCAATAATATATATAATTATCAACAAGTTTAAATTATTAAAAAACTAATATCTAAAAACTATACTCCACCTTGATATAATTTTTAACAATTGCTCATATGACTCTTATGTTTATATAGCACAATCATTGATCAAAATGACGTACTTGAATAATGAGAAAGTCAAACTAAAACACTTAAAAAATTGAGAGAGTAATAATAAAGGCTTTAAAATAAGTTTGGATAAATGGACAATGATTATTATTTTAATTTGCTAGGTGAAGAAAATAGGCCAGGTTCGATTATTCAGAGTGTTTAAGACATTAAGGTGCACTTTTAGAGTAAAAAAATTATCCTCAAATTAAAGTGTTCACATAAAATTTGATTAACGATTCTAACTTTCTAAGTCATGAGTTGCAGGACAAGCTATAACCTATAACCACTAGAGTAATAGACCAAAACAAACAGAATCGTTGAAATATAAAATGGTGGATATTGATAATGGAGTGCTACCCAAATTTATATATACCAAGTATTATGAGTTGATGACACGTTACAACTAGCACTGGCGGATCTATTAAGCGGCTTGGGTGGCACGGCCCTATTAAAAATTAAATTTTTTAATTTTTTTTATTTAAGTAAAGGTGTAAATTTATAGGTTAAATATAATTTTAATACAATAAATAACACTAGAATTAGCTTTGTCATTGTGGTAATGCATTGAGTTTATGCTAAAAGTCTTAGGTTCAAGTCTTCATATGAGTATTTTATTTTTTATTTTTATTTAGTGCCTCTCCACACTACATATTTTAATACTTTTCCGTTTAAAAAAAAAAACATATATTAATACTTTCTCTCTTTTTATTTTTTAACTAATAATAATTATGTTTTTTTACGTTTATTTGTTAATGCATAACTTCAAATCTTCAACCATTTTTCTTCAAAAAAATAAAATACAATAAAAAATCTTCAACCATTAATATCTTTAGTTACCAATCAAAGCTTGATGGAGTTGGCTGGGAACTCACCTTGTTACTTTAAGGTCATAAATTCGAACCCCACAACTATACTTGCTTGGGAGTAAGGGGGATTTCCTTACCTCCCCCCTCTACTCTCAAATAGTAACCTGCAGAGCTAGGTTGACTTAACCATTGAGAGGTGCTGATTTAATAGAATCATTTATCTTACCTTAGGAAGATGTTACCTCATTACATACTTGTATATTTCACACATGCATAAAAGATGTTGATATGATTGCCAATTTGCAAGTATTTATATGCTAGCTAGCTGCTCCAATTCCATACCATTGCATTCTCTGTCATTGTGTGCCATCAGTAATAATACACTTGAACATATAGATCAACATCAACTACCTATATCTATATTATTAAATCCATACTACTTACTAGTACGTTGAATTTCGAGCTCAATCTATGTTAACGTGAAAGTCGTTCTTGTTATTTGTCTTCAATTGATAATTTCATTTAATTACTTCATTTTCAATGGTTGGTGGGAGTATTATTAAACAGACATACTTGTATATTAGTGTTTTATACTCCGTATTTCCATGATAAATTGATAATACAAAGCTACTACGTCACTCCAAGCTGTACGTGTAAGATTTGATTCTGTTATCGAGATGAATATCGGGAATTGAAGGAGAATTGTAAGATTTGATTCTAGATGCTATTAATCGGATAACTGAGGAGTTTTTAAATGTAAATTAAAAAGATAAATGTATGAAAATCCTTAGGGATGCCTATTTATGATAATAACACAAACATCAGTAGGGCATTAAGGACCCTACATAGTATAACAAAATAAGCATTATGCTCGCTCTTATACACAAATGGTGGCGGATCTTGGTGCAAAAAGTTGAGGATTCAAGGTTTGATCCTCTAACCTTTAGCTCAAAATTCTCGATACATAAGCACAATTCCACAACTTTCTAATAATATTTATTAGGCAATTATATTACTTATAACCAATAAAATGGGAAAATCTTGTGAGGTTAATGGTTGGGCCCTATCTCACCCCAATTAAAATCTGCATTTGCATAAAATTATGCTCCGTAAGAAAAAAAATAAATAAACAATTCACTTCTCTTGCTAGCTCTATAATATACCTATTTTGCAGGTAGCACTGCTTGAATCTAGCCTGCTAAAATTTACGAGACGTATAATTATACCAGTTAGTATTGGTTGGTCCCACAACCAGCCAACTATAGCTGGTCCAGCGACCAGAAATGAACAATTACTATATCAAAAATGAACATTTTCTAACTGAACATATTTCACAATTTTGTTCATTATAAAATCAATATATGTTCATTCTCATACGTCGTTTTATGTTCACTTGGGGAATAATTTACTATTGAAGAGTATATTAATGATGTTCATATTAGCAAAATATTCATAATCATAAAATTGTATGTTTATTTGTATATCACATTAATAAAAAAAAAATTAAAATTATTTATTTATTTCAATTTCCAAAAATATGAAATTAGATGTTCATTTGTATTACGGATGTTTTGTATTTCTCAATAATTAAATGTTCATTTTCATGCATTATGATGTTCATTCTTATAAAATAAATGTTCATTTTCTTTTTTAATTAATACAAATTTTTGTGTTTGTTCAGTTGTATAGAATATTCGTTTTTATGGTAAAAGATGTTCAATTAACATTAGCATTAATAATGTTAGACATTAGCATTTTGTTCATTAATTATTAAAAAACATGTTGTTGATTTATTTAATTGGTATTAAATCATATAGTTCAGCGAATTGCAAGATATCCATTCAAGAGAATTGAACAAATCAAGATATTTCACTTGAAGCTTAAAAAAATGTTGATGAATAAGCAACAACATTATATATTTTTTTTTTTTTGAGGCAAATATTCATTTTTATTTATATATGAGATGTACAATTTTTTTTTTATTTTTTTTTTCCAGTTTCATTGCCACTTTATTTTACTCTCATATTATAAATGTTCATTTTTATATATTGCAATGTTAATTTCAAGTTTCAGATATATTTTCTTTTGATTTGGAATTCAATTTTTATTAAAAAAAAAAAAAGTGTTCGTTGTTATTTAACGAAATATTCATCTCAATTTTTTGATATACATTTGCAGTTTCAATGTTACTTTTCAAATATGTTCAATTACTAAATGTTCATTTTTATTCTAATAAATGTTTATTTTTGTTGAGGAAGACCAGCCAAGTATGAGGTCGCGAGACCAGCTTAAAATTTGCGTGATTATACTCGTACGATATGTGTGTTGGCCCAACTTTCACAACTCGTATGACATGATTTGGGCAATTGGGCTAATTACATTTGTATCAAGTGTGTTGTTTTGGCGTAGTTCGTGGCGTATTTATGTGACAATTTGACAAGTTGTGCTTTTTGTTAGTTTTGACATAGAGGTCTGACTTATGTGGCTTGTAAAGGGGCACAAATTGGTTAAGAGAAGACATTAGGTATGGACTGTTGCTCGTAAATTTGTGTGCGGTAAGCTTGACTGATATATTTTACTTGTTGGCTATTATGTTTCATGTGTTGGCTGATATGTTTCATTTGTTGGATGATATGGTTTTTGTGTTGGCTAATATATTTCTTTTGTTGGCTGATATATTTTATTTTTTTGATTTTTGATAGGTTCCTTTTGTTGGCTGATATTAAACATTATTTGGCTTATATGTTTCTTTAGTTGGCTGATATATTTATTTTGGTGGCTGATTTGTATATTTTAATTGTTGGCTTATTTGTTTTATTTTGTTGGTTGATATGTTTATTTTATTGGCTTATCTATTGCTTTTGTTTGCTGATTTCATCCTTTTATTGGCTGATATGCTTCATTTGTTGGCTGATATGCTTCATTTGTTGGCTGATATGTTCCTTTTGTTGGCTAATAAGTACCTTTTGTTGATTGATACATTCCTCTTGTTGGTTAATATATTCCTCTTATTGACTGATATGTTCCTTTTATTGGCTGATACGTTTTTATTGATGTTTTTAATGTTGGCTAATATCAAACATGAATTGGCTGATATGTTTTTAATGTTGATTGATTCGACCGACCTTCAATTCCTCATCGGTCAAATCAATTGTTTCCTCAAAAAAGGCCGCTACGCTGAATGTCTTAGCTCCGCTTCCCCGTTTACCTCACTGCTATCCTCGAATACCTTGCTGCTGAGGTACATTCAAATATTTTCTCCCTTTTTACCAATTGTTTTTGAATTATTTTGGTTTTTATTTTTATTTTTTTCGGGTGTTGAATCTGAAATTGTTGGTTTCAGGTGTTGGAATTAGCAGGGAATGGAGGTGTAAGGTTGAATCTGAAAGGGAGGTGATAACAAGAAGAGCAGGATCATCCCTCGGCGTCGCTACCTTTTCGCCGCACGAAGTAATAGTTTGTGATTGGTTAATATGAATAGATGGTGGAGGAGATTTGCCTATTAGAAATTTCTTGTTTGTTAAGTTGAGGATTTAGGACGTCAATTTAGTAAATTATGATGTATCTCATATCGGACGAAATCTTCTTGACAACACTTTACAAAGGATGGTTAGTTTAAGATGATTAGCAACAAAATTTGATTCTGTAAAACACCGTCATTTTGAGAATTTTTGACATATAGAAGTTATGTCGATTTATTGAAATACAAGAGAAAATTATGCGAATCTACTAAGATATGATATATTGCTATCATGTGTCACTATATATGCTTGTTAGCTACTACGAGACTTACAAAGTATGTAAAATATATAGGAAAATTTGTGAGGAAAGTCTTTTAAGTAGACCTTTTTGTGAGGAAGGTCCTTTTATAAAAAGGGTGGGCACAAAAGGTCCTTATATTACGTTTGGGTTGTGAGCAGAGTCCTTTGACAAATTTTCCGACGTTGACCATTTTTTTTTCCGACCAAAAATAGTCACATGCACAGCACGTGACCACTTTTTCCCTTTTTCCTTTAATTTATTTTTCCCTCCCTTATAATAGCAACATACTTAGCCCATAATATCATCACGAGCAAAATGCCAATGGCCATAGCATCCAGATACTAATAGTTTAAAATTTCATCACCAACTTACAGCTTATGTGTTCATAAAGTGTAATCATTTCCCTTTTCTTTCTGGGATTGATATAAAATGAGTTCAAATAGCAGCTTCATCGATTGCGGTCCAATAATCAGTTTAGTTCATCATTAAACCTAATTAATCAATCAATAAAATAGCAAAAATTGCAGCATTATTTTGCCCAAAGTATCGCTAAACATCAATTTAGCAACATATATCTACGCAATTTCATCAAAATATCTAACCCATTGATTTGGCAGTCAACGACAAAACAAAGCAATATAAACTTTCCGATTAATATAGAACTATAAAAATATTACACCAATTGTGAGCATAATTGAGACAGCAAAACTAGGGCATTCAAATTCACTCATACCTAAAAACTTTCATGAACCATTTCAATAGAAAACTGTCATAATACAAATTACGAAAAATGAAGAATTAAAATCCAAGAAAAATTGCAAATGATGAGGTTCACCTAAAATGATCAAATGTTTCGACTGGCCTTGAATGACTTTGAATTGCCTTCAATTTTACTTTCAAGGATTACAAGTGAAGATTTGGGATTAATTTTGCTCTAAAATTAGGGTATAATAGGGGGAGAAAAGGGAAAATCGAGGGAAAAAAGAAATAAGAAAAAAAAAAACCCTCATTTAAGTGTCACGTGCTGTGTACGTGACTATTTTTGGCCGGAAAAAATGGTCAATGTCGGGAAATGGTCAAAGGAGCCTCCCCACAACCCAAACGCGATATAAGGACCTTTTAGGCCAACTTTTTTTTTTTTTTATAAATGGACTTTTTTCACAAAAAAGTCTACTTAAAAGGACCTTCCTCATAAATTTTCCAAATATATAAGAAAATCAAGGTTTATTCCCATGGTAATGCAAACTCACCCCAAATTGATCTTTTTCTTAAAAAAAAATAAAAATATTTTCCCCCTAATACCTCCTCCCAAGTGGTAATAGATGGTAATGAGAAAACATGAAGAAAAACACATACTTGTGGATGAAATTGCATTTCCATGGGGATTACAATGTTTATTTCCTTCCTAAATTACAGTTCAATACGTTTTCATTATCACAATTTATTACCAGTTAACAAACGAGTAACTAAAATCAACCCTCAGGACATTAACCAAACCCTCAAGACATCATCTCAAACAATATTTTGATCTTCTAAAATTGAACAACTATAATCACAAAACATTTAACAAATTATGTCAATCAAGAATGAGCAACTCAAACACAAAATCTTAATCAACAACAATCACAATTCAAAAATACAATCATGACACAAAATACAACGATCCCATAATTCGTTGTTCATTTCCCTACTTATATAATTCCAATCATAATCTTCGTACAAATTAAACGTGTTAATGGAGTAATGGACCCCTATTCAAAAAAATTCACCACAAAAAATTCACAAAATTCCAATCCCAAAATAATCAACAAACAAAACCTCCACTAAAACTTCCCGCTTGTGGCAAAGACACCTCCTCTATTACTCTTTAGCCAATCACAACTCTCCATAATCTCAACTCTCATCTATCTCCTCCTACGTGGCATCCTTTTGACCACCCTTTTTTTTATTTTCCTTTTTTTTTTTAAATTAAAAAATATTGTCTTCTTCTTCGATTTTCCGAACTTCTTCTCCCTGCAAAACTCTGCTCTCAACCTCTACTTCTCTTTCTCTCTCATCAAACTCCATGAAAATCGACATTGAAGCTTGATTCTAGAACCGTCACTTTCTCTCTCTACTGTAAATTAATGGCGCTTTCTCTCTCCTTGACTTCTCATTCTGTATTCGAGCTTAGTTCGTTTAATCAGCATACATTTCGCAGAATTAAACTTTATTCTTCGTCTTCTAGAATTTGCAGTTCGCGGAACCCTAGATTTCGGCTAATTCGAGCTGTGAGGGAGAATACGGTTCCGTCAACGGAGGAGAGAGAAATTCCGGTGATTAATGGAGTGGATAGCTTGAAATTGAACGGAAACGGAAATGGTTCGATTGAGAGTTACTTGAGTGGTAATGGTGGAGTGAAGGGGAGTGAGAATGGTGCTGTTAATGGAGGATTGGTCAAGTTTGTTGATGGTGATAGTATGGCGGCGGTGAAGAGTGTGGTGGAGGAAGATTCTGGTGCTAAGGTGGAAGAAGTAGTGGCGGAGAAGATGATGGCAAAAGCGGCACCGGAGAAGAAGACGATGAAGCCGGAGAAGCAGACGATAGAGGATATCGGACAAGAGGAAGCTTGGTTTAAGCAAGGCGGTCGAGATCAATTAGAGGTAGTTCATCTTTGTTCTATATTTTAGCAATTTTGAATTCTTTGTTGAGTTATTTATTGACAATTGCAGCTTATTGTATTTGTTATTGACTTATTGAGTTATTGCAAACTGGTTTACTGAATAATTTTTTGCTTGCTGTACCTTATTAGAATTATGAATTGCAGTAATGTGGGGGGCAAATTTATGCTTCTGTAGTGCTATTTTGGGAATATTACTGTATTAGAAGTTTGTTGTGAACAATGTATTACTACTAGTTTGTTGGGGAGTTGAATAAAGTGTTGTTATAAAAAACCAATGATAGTGTACCATGCAATGAGTAAGTTTAACCAGATAACCATCACCAAGATTGGGATCATTGGATTTGATTTCGGTTGTTTTTCCCTTCAAAATTAGGGAAACCCTGTAATGGTTCTATATATGATGAATATGAAAAAGGTTCTCGAATAGTTCTGTGTTGGAGATAGATTTATTGTTGCTTGAGTTGAACTTTCTTCTATTAGTTTCACTTTGTCATGAATTCTGATGTGCAAATGGGCAACGCACACTGCATTTGAACTACATTGTCATCTTGGTTGTGTCCATTTGACTATAGCATCCTGCATTTAAACCAATTCAAGTCAACCTTCTGATTTTACTTCTGTCTCTATGTTATCTAGAAGTTGAAGTAAAGGAGGATTGGTTGTAATTATATTTGTTGGAGAGCCCTTTTTAACTTTTTTACTCTTAAGTGCATAGTGGTGTAAATGTGTATTGCTCTCCATTTGGCTGAAAGACACTCCATCCCACCTCACACTCTACTTGCGAGACTTAGACTTTTCAGTCTAAGCACATGTATTTTCCTACTACCAACTTCTTTCTAGCTTGAGCATATTACTACCGCATGCCAACACCTTCATTAGATTTAGGAAAACTTCTTTGGGCTCCTTCCATGACTCATGATTAGTGACCAGATTAACATTTCTATGGTTGCCACCCAGTATCGGACCTCCCAGCAATTTAGGAAAGCCATCAAGGCTAGTAATAATGACGTGTTCTATTGTTGATTTTGTGTCTCTCCCTTTGAATATGAGAGTCTTTCATTTCCTAATCAATACTAAAGTATATTGAGGTGATTGGACAATCCTTCTCAATGAGTGAGACTCCAAAGCGTGAATAGTTTATTAAGATATACCTGCCCGCTCATCTCACCAAAATTTTATTGGGATAATCAAGCCGTTCTCCATGTAATCTAAGGGATGGCTCTGCAGTCAAAGTTCCAAGCATCAATGTTTATCTTAAACTTTTTGTAAGGATTTAATTGTATATTACCAAGAGATTTGAATTGGAGCCTGCCTGAAAATGTTATAAGAGCAGTTGCTGCATAGCATGGTAAACTGTAGGGTGAAGGCAGTGAAGCTGAGGATTACGGGAAACAATTTTTATCATAGTAATTTCATCATGCAAATAAAGGTCCAATAGGAATATGTTCTTTTTCCTTTAGTTGTACTCTTTTCACCCCATGTCCCCATATATATCACCCCATTTTAAAGTGCGGTGAAGATCTAGAAATGTGTTAATGTAGAATAAATTAATTGACAGTGTATATAAAAAGTGTTTTGCACAAAGGTAGTAAAAGTTTGGTGCTTTTGGGGAGAGAAATCGATATAACTTTTTGGAAGAGAAATTGATATAACTTGTACAAAATTACTACATAAGTACGTGTAAAAAGATATATTCGGGACACTCTGAAAATGGAAAGTGGAGGCAGTAATATACTGTCAAGATACAAGGCTGATATGTATTTCAGTGTTTAATTGCTTGTAACATGTTATTATGTCATATCATGTTTATATGTTGACATTGTAATGTAAACTTAGTTGCTTTGTGTAGGTTTCTGTTGCGCCTGGAGGCCGCTGGAGCAGATTCAAAACATATTCAACGATACAAAGGACATTGGAAATTTGGGGATTTGTTCTGACATTTGTCTTTAGAGTTTGGTTGAGCAATCAGAAGTTCTCTTATAAAGGTAAACATGTAGGAGTTGAATCTTTGATTTGGGGCTCTATATAAAGGTAAATATGTATTTGGAATGGGATGTGTGCTCTTATATCATCTGATATGAAGTGTTTCATTATGAACTGTGATTCTCAACAAGGGGCTGACTTAATTTCTTTCATCATGGATCATCATACCTGTCATCTTGTCTAACTTTGGTTGGTAGATTCCTCCTATCAACCCATAATCTCCACTCTCTCTTTCGTTTTTTGATGAGTCACTATCTGACACCTGTCTAAGTGTAAAGCTGCCATTATATTATGTTTTATGTATTATCTTATGGTAAATAGTGATGTTGGCCTATTGTAAAGTCCTTTTCTTGTTGTATCATTCTTCTGTGCACTTGTTTCTTTGGGATATCTTGGTAGATCATATCAATTTATCTGTTCACCCTTAGAGGAAAATCCTTTTTAGAAGTACATTTTTGGTACATTAGTCCTGTTGTTCTGTGTTCTTTATTCTAAAGGATGGAACAAACTTCAACCTGATTTGTAGGAGGGATGACCGAAGAGAAGAAAAGGCTGAAGCGGATGACTCTTGCTAAATGGTTGAAGGAAAATATTTTGAGGCTGGGTCCAACATTTATCAAAATTGGGCAGCAGTTCTCCACAAGAGTGGATATACTTGCTCAAGAATACGTTGATCAGCTTTCAGAACTTCAGGTGATTCCCCTGGCCAAATTTGTGAAGGAAGCTCTTGGTTTCTTACCCTTTTTTAATTATTTTTTATTATGTCATAAACTTTATATTAATTCGTTCAATAGGGACATGACAAGTTTGCTATGTTAGATTCCCATGTATGTTTAGAGTCAGTAGGATACTGCATACTATATTAGCGTCTTCATTTTCTGATGCATGGTCATGTGAAATTGTTGGCTGTAGAAATATATAGATATCGGATTCTAGTGGCTTACCTGTATTCACAGATCATTACATTTCGAATTATAGGTGTGCTTGGCAAGAATGGATATGAGAATAGTCTAGATCTTTTTATGTCCGTATAGAGTTTCAAGTTCTTTCAACTATATAGTCAGAAAGAAACCATTAGTTTGCAATTAGTTTTTTGGCAATTCATCTAAGACCTGAGAATTTAACTACTTTTTTAAGCTCTGTTCTCCTCAGTTTATTTTGCTGAAAAAAAAAACTTATCTTTGCTAAATTTAGCTTATATTATGCTACTCTATGATTTATGCTTAACTTTATTTTTAATGCTCAACCTGTTTTGCTTACATAAATATTTTTGCAAAAACTTATTTAAATAAGCCGAGGAGAACAAAGCCTGAGTTAGAGATCAAATATGAGAATTATCCATTATTAGGCTACTGGTATCTTGTGGTTTTTGTACCTTTTGAAAATTAATCACCTCCACAACTAGTCTCTATCAATTACCAATACAACTCTCTCAAAGATCTATTGAATATTGTCTATTTTGTACTGAAGTAATACTCTGTATGACCCTTACTTTATTGATATGCAGGATCAAGTTCCTCCTTTTCCATCAGAGACAGCTGTATCTATTGTTGAAGAGGAGCTTGGAGGTCCCCTAAGTGATACCTTTGAGCGCTTTGATTATGAGCCCATAGCAGCAGCAAGTCTTGGTAATTGTTAGACTTCCTTATATCCTCTTCACTGGTTGAACAAAAATAAATTAAAATAATGTGATACACTTGGTTTTGCAGGTCAGGTCCATCGAGCCAGACTTAAAGGACAGGACGTAGTTGTTAAAGTGCAGCGGCCTGGGCTCAAGGATCTCTTTGATATTGATCTCAAAAATCTAAGGGTTGGTGTTTAATTAGGTTTCTTGCTACTTGATTTAGATTTCTATTCTTACTAGCTCTTAGTGTGACATCAGCATCCTTAAACCAAATTTCATGAAGCACCAGTTATGAGAATGTTCCTAGGATAATCAAGAATGAATTCTACAGAAGCTCTCTAATTCTGTTGTTCATGAATGACTATGTTGTGCATACTGCATAGCATACATACAACTGTACCACCTGGTAGCTAAAAATTATCTTTGTTCTGTAGTATGAATATATTTTTCTAATCTTGTACTGTACTATTATATTCCCTCCATGCTACAATGTTTGCAATATGTGTAAGTTGACAGGGCATGCTGGCTCTATTGAACTAGTCTAGAATCTTAAATAGAAGCATTATAGAAATGCCTCTAATGCCTTTGGATTTTAAAAAAATGTTCCCTCTTCGTGAAGTAAACACCTAATCCAAATGGCAATGGAATTGTAGGCACGAGTTATTATAAGTTTCATGGCCTTTTACCATAATGAACTAGTGGTCTAGTGGATACCTAAAAGGCCACCATAATGTAGGTAACAAAAACAAATTTCTAAAAAGTACAAATGTAAAAAGTTCAAAAACAATTTGAAATATACAGTATACACTTAGACTGGTAAAAATACATATTAATGTGGTTGAAGTATAAATACATATTAATGCTTCCTGGTTTTGATCACACCTCCCCCCCCCCCCCTTTCTCCCCAAATGAGAATTCATTATTGTTGCAGTTGCCAGGCTGGTCAAACAACGTATGATTGACCAATGTGGGCCTTGTGAAAAATGTCTTTCTCCATTTGTGTTGACTACTTCTATGGTTTACAGTATCACTTTCTGAGCATACATGTAGGAGGCCTGACATTCATTTTTTTTTTTTTTTTTTTTTTTAATTTGTTTTGCTAGGTAATTGCTGAATATCTTCAGAAGCTTGACCCAAAATCGGATGGTGCGAAGAGAGACTGGGTGGCAATTTATGACGAGTGTGCTAGTGTATTGTACCAGGTTTAACTCCAGACTTACGAATTCATGACCCTTTGAAATTGTTTCTCTTATACAAAATAAATATATACAAAGTACATTGAAAATATAGAGATACATTGAAAATATAGAGAAATAAGGCATGTTGAGTGTTAGGCAAAATTCTATCGCAATGCTACAGAGTGCTGTTTGCATATATGAATTTCATGTTTCAGTTTGGTATTTGGCACATATATGTACTTGATGTGAGATATTTCAGGAAATTGACTAGATGTGAGATATTTCAGGAAATTGACTACACCAAGGAAGCAGCAAATGCAGAACTGTTTGCTAGCAATTTCAAAAACATGAGTTATGTCAAGGTTCCTTCAATTTACTGGGAATACACTACCCCGCAGGTTTGGCTGTGCTGCGTTCTTAAAATCTTAGGAGAGCAAGCATATTTTGGTTCACTCTGATTTCCATCTTAAGGAATTTCGGTTTGTTGTAGATCTTAACCATGGAGTATGTCCCGGGGATCAAGATAAATAGAATTCAAGCTTTAGATCAGTTGGGAGTTGATCGCAAAAGGTAAGAGTATAATTTATATTTTTATAGTGCATTGAATGGTATTAAGTCAAAATAATTATCTCATAGCACCTCTAGGAAAATGGGTAGTCCATGGAATGATGCTTACTGCTAGAGAACTCATTTGCTTTTCCACAGATATTATCATTATTGATTTTTTGGTCTTTCAGGTTAGGTCGGTATGCTGTTGAATCTTATCTGGAACAAATACTTTCTCATGGCTTTTTCCATGCTGATCCAGTGAGTACTTTAATTTGTTTCTCTTTTCCTTCAAATCATAGACAAGGACTGCGGTGATTATCTTTTCAAAATAAACAATCTTTAACAGTAATGTCAAGAAAATAAAACAATGAAAATATATACATTATCTGTTGAGTGTTTCAGAATTCTCCCCCATTATTCTATGCTTTGAAGGAATAATGGTTAAAACTTGGATGTTTTAATGCTTCTAAGATATTTATCATTGTTACAGTTCAAATTTGCTTTTAGTTGAAGACTTTAAGTGCTTTCTCTTTTTCTTGGCAGCACCCTGGAAATATTGCTGTTGATGATGTGAATGGTGGAAGGCTGATATTTTATGACTTTGGAATGATGGGAAGGTAAATATCTGAGAATACATTATTCATCTACCTCTGAAATTGTGTTCATGCTTAACAAAAAATTATAATTGCACCTTGCAGTATCAGTTCAAACATTAGAGAGGGCTTGCTCGAGGCATTTTATGGAGTCTATGAGAAGGACCCAGACAAGGTTTTTTATTTTAATCATGTTTCTTGAGATTTATACCCAAATAGCCAATGATCATGCTTTGTTACCATCTTAATATTTTAATTTTATTGAATATACCTTGTTTGCAGGTTCTTCAATCTATGATTCAAATGGGCGTTCTAGTACCTACTGGAGATATGACTGCTGTGAGACGAACGGCGAAATTCTTCCTTGATAGGTACTATATACTAGACTTGTATGAAATTTTTTATACATATCTAATACACATAACTATTGGAGATTGTATCCAGCTTTGATGGGACCATGATACCCATTTTTACCATTATGCACTTGACATTGATATGGGCTTTTAGTTCTGTATGAGCTTACATTGCTGCTTTGTGTGATCTGAAGACTAAGAATTTTATGCAATTATACCCAATTAGGAAGTTATTGTCTTGCTGGCTAGTGCTATTATGTAAAAAGTTAGTGTTCTTTTATTGGCAAACCCCATTTACTACCTTACCCCACAGTATATAGTCATTCACACATTTTTCACTCTTACACCCACCCACCATTTTACATTATCTCTCTTATGTTATCCAACTTTTTCTTACATTCAATAGTATTCACCACATCAACGCTCTCTTTCCAGCTGCCTTAACATTTGTGCAAATAGTAACTTTAAAGAACTTTTGGGAATGGAGGTAGTACATGATAGCTTGAGGGCATGACATTTATGACCTTATCCTTCTTTTGTTTGGTGACACCATATTTGTTTCCATTTAAAATTTGATAAACTTTTGTATGTACTCATTACTTTTCCCCAAAAAGAATTTATGATTAAGACTGGTGCACGGCTAAATGGATGCTTTAGAATTTAGATAAGCGCATTACCCTAGCTTACCATTTTAGAAGTGGATGCATCTTGATTAATGTACCTTATCAAAATGAGGAGTTTTGAGATCTTGACCATAGTACATAATCCCTCCGTTATTTTTAAGCGACACTTTCCCTATTTGAAAACTTTATACCAATTTTGATTATATTTCTCTCTCCTTTGGTCCCCAGTACTACATTATATATTATTTCTCTCTTCATGGTCCCCACTCATACATTCTTTATTATTTCTCTCATCTCACATCCTAACATATAATTCTCTAACAAATTATCTACCTATACACCCTATATATTTCTCCTAACATTCCGAGCAAAGGCTAGTGTGTCACTTAAAAAAAAAAAAAGGAGGGAGCACTTCGTATGAAAATCCTAAGTTGAGGTTTTTTTTACCATTCAATCATAGTGACTGAGTTTCGTTTATGTAGTTTCGAGGAACGTTTGGCGGCTCAAAGAAAAGAGAAGGAAATGGCAGCAGCGGAACTTGGATTCAAAAAGCCATTAACCAAGGAGGAAAAACTTCAAAAGAAAAAGCAAAGGCTAGCTGCAATTGGTAAAATTAATTCCAATAACACTATTTACACTGACCATACAACTACATATTATTTTTCCTTTCTCTGGTTTTGAGTTTTCGCATATGCGGTCTGGCTCTGCTGCAAGTTAGGATGTGACAAATCTGACAATGTCTCCCCCCCCCCTGTAATTTTGGATGTGACATGAACTTCAAAAGACTTTTACGCTGTTGGACTTTTCCATATTTGCCATACAGTTCCTATTGCTCATTACTCAAGCGCAGAAATGTTATTTTCTGAATTAAAATCTATTACTATTACAGAAAGGGGACTTTTTTTCCTAGGAATCCTGTAATAGTACATGCAAGTATGTGACTATTTATTGGATGGAAGGAGTATTATGTTCATCCATTTAATTTTTCTTTTTATAATGTTCATCTCCTAACTAATTCACACCATGCCCTTTAAGTGTGAGAACCTGGATGAACCATCTAGCCGAAGAAGCTCTTTGAAATTTGTCCTTGACTATTACTGAATGAGTCCTAAATTGTTTGGTGATGACTAATGTGGGGCATAATTTTTCAGGGGAAGATTTGTTGTCAATTTCTGCAGACCAACCTTTCAGATTTCCTGCTACATTCACGTTTGTTGTTCGAGCATTCTCTGGTATTTGACTTCAATTCTCTTCTCATTATTATTTTTGACCGAATAACTGAACCAAATAAATTGAAATCCTTATACTTTATTGGTCGAATTGCAGTTTTAGATGGAATTGGGAAAGGGCTTGACCCTCGATTTGATATTACTGAGATAGCCAAACCGTAAGTTTTAATGCAAATTTTATGAGCTATTCCATATCTTTATTCAGGGAATTTATTCTTGGGTGGGGAGGGGGGAATTGTTTATCAATTGCTTATTCACATCCTTGCCTTGCAGCTATGCTCTAGAACTGCTCAAATTTCGTGAAGCTGGTGTTGAAGTTGTTGTGAAGGTAAATTTATTTATCAATTCGTATTTTTTGCATCCACCGAACAGCGTTTACTGTTGTCTGACTCTCAATATATATTTCAAATTTGTCTAGGATTTCCGAAAGAGATGGGACCGGCAATCTCAAGCATTCTACAACTTGTTTAGGCAGGCAGATAGAGTTGAGAAGCTTGCTGAAATTATTGAACGACTGGTAGTTACCTCATTGAACTTTGAAACGATAAGACTTACTTTCATTATATTAGACGTGATTTCATGGTGGCTTTTTATTTTTCACCTCTAACATGGCCTTGTATTTACAATAGGAAAAGGGAGACCTGAAGCTTCGTGTTCGAGCTCTGGAGTCTGAGAGATCTTTCCAGCGTGTAGCAGCTGTTCAGAAGACAATAGGAAGTGTATGTCATCTGGTTGAATATTTATTTTTGGCATGGTTAGAAATTTTAATGACCTAAAAATAATAAGTAAATAAAATACAAGGCTATAAATGCAATTAGATAAGCCCCCACCCAACAAGTTCTCTCTCTGCTGTTGGTGAACAAATGAAAACTCTTAAGATTAATGCAACATCATTAATTCAAGGAAAATGTCTAGACTTTTCTTTCTTGAACGTTGTTTCCAATTCTGGAGATATATTACATATATACAGCAATTTGTTTGGTGAAAGAACGTCTTGGTTCTTTAACAAACTTGTTTGAACTGTTAGATTTAATTAAGCTGCAAAAAAAAAATTTAGTGTTAGTATTACAACTTACATATCTTTCACGCTGGTAACTTGTTTCTGAATCAAATTAAGTTGAGTTGTTCTGCTTTACCTGGTATCACAGAGATAATAATAGATCATTATTATCTAATTTGATGAATTCAACAGGCTGTAGTTGCTGGAACCTTGGTGAATCTAGCCACAATTTTGTATCTCCACTCAATTCGAGTAAGTGAATATTGTTCTTTCTGTGCGTAGCGTGGATATTTATGTAGTTATGAATTTAAATCATTAAAATTTGGTCCGTCATAGGTGCCCGCCATTGCTGCTTATACTGCGTGTGCACTTTTCGGCCTTCAAGCTTTATTTGGTGTTCTTAAGGTCAAAAAATTGGACCAAAGAGAGAGACTGATTACTGGAACTGCTTGAACAATGGGTAAGTGACATAATTTGCATTTTGGTCTCTGGGTCGCTCTTTGTCATATCTATTGTTAAGTCACCAGAACCAGGCTATGAATCACAATGGCAGAAAAGGTTTTTTTTTTGTTTTTATACCAAATTACCAATAGCAACATTTGAGGAGATGATCAGTATAATATAGCCAATAGATTTTAAAGGGAACTGTGTGCGTTATTATGTACTTTTGGTACTTTTTAACAATGCCTATGTTGAATTTGCAAGAGCCTATGTTTTGCCAAAATCCTAGATGATGATCTTCAGTATCATGAACTTTATCTTCTTTTGAACACGAAACTTCAATATGGGATTATATCTCACCATCATGCTTCCACAAATTCCTTCTAGGTGTGCTACTTCCCTAATTCCCTTCTTAAGAACCCCACTGACAATGGGACAGTGCACTGTACAATTTATCTGCTACGATTTGAATTTTTGAACAGACAAGACTGCGAGCCAACCGACCCTTGCCAGCCTTCTCAAAAACCAATCATAGTTGTCTTCACACTGTTACAAATTTTGCTATGGCCATGCTTTTGGTAGTCTAAGAAGCTCCTACTGGTCTAGAAGTCCCTTGTTTGGCTTCACTTAATTAGCAATTTATATTGGTAAAATTACTTCATAAACTGAAATCTTGGCATTTCTTATCTTTGATACACATTTGCAAGTCTGTTTTCATTCAGGGAGTCATGTTTGATCTATAGTCTTATACCATGTTACTGTCCTATCTTTCTATTCATCAAGTGTAGGCTGACAACACTGTTCAAACATTTTGTAGGTTGTGGTTATGCACATATACACAGACCCATGAACGAAACCATATTTAACCACATCATGGGTTCCATTTGGCCTTTATGGCCTAATCAGCCTTCTGAATAGCAAAGCTGCTGTCAAGGCTGCTGATTCTACAATATAAGACACTTTTTTAATGGAGTTACTGTGTGCTTTAAATTAAAACTTCTCGACTGATTCATAAAGACACAGATCGAACATGCTTACTCTCCAACTACAGCATTGCGCCATTTTGTCAGGTATATAGCAAAGCAGGTCATCAAATACATTGTCAGATTGATCTCTGAAGGAACATCCAAGTCCAGCTTTGAAGGATGGTTCTGGTAAATTTTAATCTAAACTTTGAAGCATTTGTAAAAGTAAAAAATAAAGGCTTGTAGTTTCATTTACATCATGCTTGCGTTCCCACAAGCCCTACCAGGTTAGTTAGACCAGAAATTTTTGTCCTTTTAGTGGTCAAAGTATATAATGTATAAATTGATATTGTGAAATTATGTACCAGTACTAGCTATGTACACTAACTGTAAAGTAGAGAGGGTACTTCATTCTTGAGTTCGCGGCACATGATATACTGTAATATACCAATGTTGTATGAGTTTGGCTTGCAGAACTCCTGCTGTTGTTCATATAGCTACTGCACGCCATTGGGCGGATAATCTTGCAATTAAATACGAATATAATTGAGGTTGGAATAGCTATGTGAATTTATGGTAAGTAAAACTGCTGTCCTTATCTATCGCCTTTGCTCAATTCATTTTGTACTGTTATTTCCTGTCTTTTCGGTGATTGAATCGCTGTAATTTTGCTTCCTCGTGCTCCGCTTCGAGATCGGAGCTAAGCTTTCCAGCTTCTTGATACCCTTATATGCCTGTCTTTTGTTTCTTGTCCTCTTTGTTAATACTTTACTTTACCTGAAAGTATTAAGGAGAATGGCATAAATCTTTGTTTATTCTTCTTTAGTTGTACTTGTATGTTCAGCTTACCTATTATTGGTTTCATTATTCTATGTAGTTGCTTACTAATCTACACAAACATCCATGCTATTGCCTATTAGCTTCCCCCAACCCCAAAAACTAAAAATAAGAATTGGTATTATCAAGCAAATTCCATATAATGCATGTACCTTTACCATTTTTTAAATATAATAATATTCCGAGTCGAGTTATATCTTAATCATTTTTCCTTTAGCTATTCTCTTTTAATTATTTTTGGAAGAATGTATTCTATCATATGAAACTTATTGCATTTGGAATAAATCATATAAACTGAGGTGTTCTTTATAACAGCATTCTAATATGCTTCAACATTAATAGGGAAGTTTCCCAGATAAGTTGGATCCAAAAATCCACATTCAAACAGTTGTCACATTTTATACACTTTGACCAAACCAATCAAACTGTACTGATTTAAGGGGAACCAAGTAAGCTGTTCGTCATTTAAATAATCACCCCCATTTTCCATTACTTGTACATGAAATAGGCAAATAGCATATTTGATGTGGATTTTCTTCGTTACATGTTTTTTGTCCATCATGCTACTACAATTATTGTATGACAAATTGGCTGGGAGACCGTTAGTCGCGTTTATGTACCAAAATTGCGTTAGAGGTACATGAAGGACAAATGAATTAGAACTCCCTTCCTCTAGATCTCCAGAAGTAATGGTCGCGCAACATGGGCATGATTTAGGTTGGATTTGATTAGCTCACAATGTGTCAACCACAACTCCACAAGGCATATAATTAATCTTTTCTGCATCTTTCAAAATGCTCAGAAGTAGTTGTTATTTGAGTAATTTTTTATCTTACAAGGTATTAGTATAATGTGACTACTATTTTCAGACGGAAATAATGTACTTATTCCAACTCTTGCTTGTGCTCTAAACTTGCTCCCTCTCTCTTAACAATGAAGAAAAATGTGGTTTAGTGGAAGGCATGCTGTATGTGCAATGGGGAAACAAATCATTTAACAAGCAGATTAATTATATTGTGTGTTTAATATCATCATTAGTGAGTTCTATACTTAGGTAATTATTTTGGTATTATAATTAAAGTACATCAAGCAAAAAGTTATACCACGGCAATCAAGTAGATGATTTTTTAAAAAAGGTGTTCTTTATATTCTTATAGAAATTCATCCTTTCCAGGTAAAAGTTTATTTTAGTAAGCTCTCCTTTTTCTTTTTTTGCCCCATTAATTAAACTAAAGAATACTTGCAACATAAAACTAGACTGTAGACTTATATACCGAGAAAAAAAAAATATATAAAATACAAGTACATTATATAAAATCCTAAAAGCTACACTTGCATTTCTGTTTTCTAAACAAGAGGGCCTAAAATACAAGAACGTAGTGTATTGAAGGAGAATGAACTACACTAGGATGCAAGCCGTAGTAGTCCATGAACCCTCATCTGTTCAAGAGGTCAAGGGTTCGAAATCAGAAAGAAGCATAAAAATTAATTAGTTACGGCAAAGATTGAGTGTAAATGTAATCTTCATGCTCAAAAACACCATCATCTTGTTGCCCATTTTCTTTCCTCTCAATGTTTACCTTGCCATGCTCATCTTTGCCCTACATCAATAGGAAAAAATCATGTATATGTGTGCGTGTACGTGTAAGAGAGATAGAGGAGATGAAGCATCAACTTACCATAGTAATAGAACCATTGGAAAGCATGAACTCTTTTGTCTCTAATCCTTGCTTTGATTGGCTTAGTGAAAGAAAATACATAATTAGCAAAAACAAGAGAAAAATACTCATTGCCTTCATTTTTTTTTTCTTAGGAATATAGTGTAAATATTATAGATGTAGAAAGTACAAGACAAAGCAAACTTTGAGGAAGCTTTATTTTGAACTAGTTTTATACACCATTTTCATTATATAATATGGTAGTTTATTTTTGTTTAATACTTTATCTCTTAGTAATGTCTATAATAAGCTTTATGTACAAGTATATAGTAGATTGGAAACCTTGCTGTTTTTGAATGGTTCCTAGATTCCACTGCATGAAGCTCGAGCGTCAAGAATTGGGTTGGTTTCTTTCTTCTAAATTATTAGAGGTAATGTAAAAAAAGAGAGGAGATTCGAAGTTCCCAAGGTTTTTCATGCGATGTTGAATGCTATTGGTTTAAAGGATGATAATGTTAATTTGAATTGAGAATGCTTTGTAAAGCACAATGGCTGTGGTCAGCAGCAATCTCAATCTTAATCTCAGTTTACAGATTCTTAATTAGTTGTTTCGGGTTCATTTAGTGTTGTTTGAGATAATTTTTTTTATCCAATAAGCCAAAAAGACCCCAAATGAATAACAAAATTTTCTTGAAAATACGTAGTTATAAGTAGGGCTAGCATTGTATATAGGACCATGCATAACCTTACTTTATCCTAGCATAAAATAAAGGTGTGAGTATTTTTATGACCTTGTGATGAGTTTGGATAAGGTATAGGTGTGAGTCACATACGGAGTACCTCCCAAAGTTGTGACTTGTGAGCTTAATTACATTTACAACTTATTATATGTATTAATGTATGCATTATTATGTGTCTTTGATGAATTGTAACATCATGACTATTCCCAAAGACGAGGCTAATATTATACTTGCTAGCTCCTTATCAATTGTATTACAGTGTCAAGTTGATCATTGGCCGTGTATTTATTTATTTTTCTGTACATTACGTTCAAAGGATGACAATGAGATTGAAGAATATAATAATCTAAGTACGAACTATACCTTACTACTTACTAGACCAGTATATATATTTAAGAATGTAATGAACATGTATACATATGTGTTAATTGTGTAGTAAAGATTTTTTTACAAAAAATAAAATAAAAAATGCAATGAAGTTGGACATTATGAAGAAGAGAAGTACGGGGCGTAGAGGTACTATTGCTATGAAGTTGGACATGAGCAAAGCATATGACAGAATTGAATGGATTTTTCTTGAAAAATTGCTTCTTAAGATGGGGTTTGCTAATAGCTGGGTGAGAGTAGTCATGGAATGCGTTACAACTGTGTCTTACTCTTTCATCATCAACTGTAATGTATGTGCTTCCGTGACTCCTTCCCGCGGACTGAGACAAGGTGATCCCCTCTCACCTTATCTTTTTATTATGGTGGCTGACGCTTTCTCTGCTCTACTCAGGAAAGCATATGATGACAGACTTATTCATGGAGCTGGTGCTTGTCGGAGGGGGCCGAAAATTTCTCACCTTTTCTTTGCAGATGAAAGTTTACTCTTTGCTAGGGCCACTCGAGAGGAATGCTCGAAGATAGTTGATATACTCAACATATATGAAGCAGCTTCCGGTTAGAAAATTAACTATGAAAAATCGGAGGTCTCTTTCAGCAAAGGGGTGTGTGTGTCGAAGCAGGAAAAGTTGAGAAATGTTATGAATATGCGTCTTGTTGATGTGCATGAGAAGTACCTCGGTATCCCGACCATTATTGGAAGGCCGAAGAGGTTGGTTTTTTGCGGCTCTGAAAGACAGGATATGGAAAAAGCTCCAAGGTTGGAAGGAAAAGCTACTATCGAGGGCCGAGAAAGAAGTGTTGGTGAAATCAGTTATTCAAGTCATACCGACGTACCTGATGGGAGTTTACAAACTGCCTAGGCACATAATTGATAGTATCCGATCTCTGACTGCGAAGTTTTGGTGGGGGCATTCGGGTCCGAGAAGAAAGGTGCATTGAATTAATTAGGACTCAATGTGCAAACCGAAGTGTCTTGGTGGTATAGGCTTCCGTGATATGGCTGTATTTAATGAGGTACTTCTAGGAAAACAAGCTTGGTGGCTTATTACTTCTCCGGAGTCTTTGTTTGCACGTGTTATGAAGAGCAAATATTACCCAAATAGCGATTTTCTCAATGCGTAGCTTGGGCTTAATGGAAGCTACTCTTGGCGTAGTATTTGGGGTTCTAAGGGTCTTGTGAAGGAGGGGTTGATTTGGAGAGTTGGGAAAGGTTCAAAAATTAAAATCTTTATGAACCCTTGGTTAGCCGATGAGAATGGAAAATTTGTGTAGACTCCAAGCATTGAGGGATTTAATTATGTAAGTGAGCTTATTGATGCAGGAACTAGAGAATGGAATTATGAATTAATTTCTGAAAATTTTAATGAGCGTGATACTCAATGCATAATGTCTATCCCCTTAAGTGTGCGTGCTCCGGAGGATGATTTGACATGGGCCTTTTTTGAAAGATGGCTTGTACTCTGTCAAATCTGCTTATTCGCTTGGCAAGTCTTGTGATCTGGATTCATTTCATCAGACCTGGGTAGACATTTGGAGTATTGATACAATCCCGAAGGTGAGCATTTTCTATGGAGAGCTTGTATAAACTCTCTGCCAACTAAAATGCTGCTGTTAGACACATGAATGATGTGTCCTGTTGCCCGTGGTGTTCTGATGAGGCCGAGACCATACATCATGCCTTCTTCTCCTGCCCAGTCGTTGCTGATCTGTGGTGTGCTTGCAAGTGCGATATGCTAGTCCCTGTCGATCCTCATGAGGAGGTGAAGGAAATGCTGCTAAGATGGAACAAGTTATGTTCGAAGAAATGCCTGGCGGGTGTTGCTTTACTCTGGTACATTTGGTGTCGAAGGAACGATAGAGTCTTTAATAACAAAGATGTTCCGCATTTAGTGGTGCTCGAGAGGGTGCATAGGCTGATTGAGGATTGTGGGAAATATGCCTCTAAGGTGTATGGTTCAGTAAGTAAGAAGCAGAATCGCAAGAGCTCGAAGACTTGGCTTCCTCCCCCTACCGACTTCATAAAAGTCAACTGTGATGCTTGTTTGAAAGAAGTTGGTTGGATGGGACTTGGGGTCGTGGCCAGAGATGTTGCAGGGGTGGCTGTATTTGTTGGTACAAGACGCATAAGGGGCTGTTGGTCCCCTGAAATCGCAGAGTGCAAAGCCATTCACTTTGGGGTGCTCCTAGCCAAACGATATGGGTACAAGAAAGTGATAATCGAGTCTGATTGCCAAGTTGTTATCTCTCGATTGTCAAAGGCTATTTCCTACATCACAGATTTGGATTCGATTTTGGATGATGTGTTTTTTCTTAGCGCTGACTTCGATTTTATTTCTTGGTCGCATGTTTTTAGAGATGGGAATGTTGTAGCCTATCATTTAGCGAGTTTAGTACCTTTTGGATGCGAACAAGTATGGGAGAATCATTGTCCTCCTGTTGTTTCGTCGTATGTACTCATAGACAATTTGTCTATTAATTAATGAAGGTGCTTTCTCGTGGTTTTTTTTTTTTTTTTTTAATCAAAGATGGAAATATATAAGCTTGAGCAATTAGAAGAGAAGAAGATATTCAACCTACTCACAATTCACAAATCACAATTGTCATATTAAATTTAAGCAAAAATTGACTTTGTCATCTCAAATTTCATCAAAAATAAATGAGCCTAAGTTTGCGCTCATCGGTTGGAAGAAAATTAATGGATAACTTTATTTAAACGATGTATTATTATTCTTATATTAAGAAATAACTCCTCAAACTTTAAATAAAAATATTGGACAATTTATGTGCGGTTACATAGAACGTCATCACCTCGTGACCTAAAAAAATTCTAGTCCAGCTTAATTCTTATCACCTTATACCATGTCCATTTTCTAGTAGCATTCATTAAAAAGCAAAAAGGAGAGTTCCATTCAATACTTATAAGTAAACATTGGGTCTATTGATCTCATAAAATTCTAAGTTGATGCTAGCTTGGACTTGGCTCATTGAGAGCTTGACTCGAGCTTTTGATGAGCCGAGTTAGAGAAATTCATGAGTAAGTTCTGCAATTTACATGCTACTTTGGACTAATACATTTATTTGAGGCAATTTATATGCTACTGCTTTGGACTAAGGCCCTGTTCACTTCACCTTAAAAAAATAATATTCAGTTAAATAATTTCAGTTTAGCAAAAATAAGTTCAGTTCAGTAAAAATAAGTTTAGTTTTATAAAAATAATTTCAGTTTAGTAAAAATCAGTAAACGTAAAGAAGAAATATACAAAAAAAATCAGTAAAAATAATTTCAGTTTAGCAAAAATAATTTCAGTTCAGTAAAATTAATTTCAATTTAGCAAAAATTATTTCAGTTCAGAAAAAAATAAGGTAAAGTGAACGAGACCTAAATTGCTCTAATTTTCTCATTTTTTGAATAAACAAATATCTTACATAAGTTAATTCGAACACCTTATTTGCAACTTTCATTTTCCCCAACTTCAAAGGTTTTAATTTCATAATCAAATGTTGGACAATGACCCAATCTAGAGATTCTACTATGCAATTTGTTTCTTTAAAAATTTTAAAAGTATTGATTATTACTGAAATATCCCAAGGATATCATAAAAGAAATCCAAATCATACATCTCACATTACATATATTTAATCTTACATTATATATATTGACTACATTATTATAATTTATATCTAAATGGACAAGTAGCAATTTATACTTTTTTTTTTGAGGCAAAATAAAAATATTGCTTTTAGTATCCGTTAAAATTCATGCTCTTTTTCTCTCTTAATTTAATTTCTTTTTTGCAAAAAGGATTAAATATCAATATAGACAATAATGTATTAATGTTGACAATGACAATCCTTCAATAAAAATGTTGATATTGATAGAGACAAATACACAAATGTCAAATTGTCTGAAAATTCTGAATTTAGTAAAGAATATTATAAAAATCAATTTAAGTTTAAAAAATTTACAATTAAAATTAAAATAAAATTATTTTTTTAAAAATTAATTAATTTTTTTTTTAAAATCACCTTATTGACATCTCATGCCAATTTTGAGCACATTCAGCGGCACCCCTCCTCCACTCATCTTCTTACAACACATCATTTCTAGAGAGAGAAACTCCACCTTCTTTCTTAGAGAGAAAAACTCACCTTTTTCTAGAGAGAAAATAATTTTCAGCTTTCTTTTTTAGAGAGAGAAACTGTGTTGTGTTGTGTAGTGTGTTTTTTTACAGAGTGTAGCAACCTCACTCCAACCCATCCTTCTTCTCTCACTACAATCCGCCATTTTTATACCTTCATTCATTCTCTCTCTCCTCCCATTTCTCCATTTTTATCACCCCCTTTTTCTGCAATTCGACGCGCAAAAACCCTAATTTCTCTCTCCTAAAAAAACCTCTCAAAAGTTTCCCCTTTTTCTCTCTCCCCCTTTTCAATTCAATTCAACCCCATTATCATTATCATCATAATTTTACCATTTTTATCCCAAATTATGCTTTCCCCATTTTTTCCCACCTTCTTCTTCCTCTCAATGTACAGTCACTCTTCAATCTAGCTCCAATTTTCTCTCTCCTAGGGTTTTAATTTCAGTAATTTAACGATGTTTTTCAGTAGTAGGAGTAGTAATAGAAGTAGTATTAACAATGGTGGGTTAATTTTCCCCATTTTCTCTCTCCTAATTTTGATTATTATCACTCCATCTTTGGTTTTCTGCAACTCCGATGAAGTTCGAGCTCTATTAGAGTTCAAGAAGGGGATCCATGAAGACCCACTTGGGAAAGTCATTCCGACATGGAATGCAACTGCTGTTGCGACTGCTTCAGATCTCGATTCTTGCCCTACCTCCTTTCATGGCGTCGTTTGCGATGATGCGTCGAACTCCGTCGTCGCCATTTCTCTTAATGGTTTGAATCTCAGTGGTGAGTTGAAGTTCAGTACCTTAATTGGGCTTAAAATGTTGCAAAACCTAAATCTTAGGGGAAATAATTTTACTGGTAGATTAGTTCCTCAATTGGGTTCAATGAGTAATTTGCAAATTTTAGATCTGTCTGATAATCGGTTTATTGGTCGGATCCCAGAAAGAATTCATGATTTATGGAACTTACAACATTTGAATTTGTCGAATAATCGGTTTTCTGGGGGTTATCCTACCGGAATTCGGAACTTACAGCAACTTAGGGTTTTGGATGTGCATGCAAATGAGCTTTGGGGTGATATTGGTGTGTTTTTCTCTGAGCTTAGGAATGTGGAGTTTGTTGATTTGAGTATGAACAAGTTTTCCGGTGGACTTCCGGTTGATTCTTCGAATGTTTCGAGTTTAGGGAACACGATTCGACATATGAACTTAAGTAGTAATCTGTTGGGTGGCAAGTTCTTGACGGCTGATACATTGTCATTGTTTCAGAGCTTGGTGGTTTTGGATTTGGGGGATAATATGATTGGGGGAGAACTTCCGTCTTTTGGGTCGTTGTATAATTTGAGGGTTTTACGACTTCGAAACAATCAGTTGTATGGAGAGGTACCTGGAGAGTTGCTTGCTACTTTGATTCAATTGAAGGAATTGGATCTTAGTGGAAACGGGTTTTCGGGTAAGCGTTTTCGGGTTCATTTGTTTTGCTATCAATTTATGGCTATATGTTTAAGTTTATTTTTGCAATATATAGAAAATCGATTATGGCATTGATGGTAGAGTTATTTGTTTGTGCTTCAATTCACTCTATATTGCACTAGTCCAATGTAGCTTTGAACCATCTTTTTTAGTAATAGCTGAAATTCAATTGGTTTTATTTGCATGCAAGTGAAAGTAGTGAAGATCTGGGATGTGAAGTTTGATGAGTGTTTTAATTTGCCACTCTACTTGGTTCAACTAGTGTGTTGTCTATATTTGTGTAGGATTTGTTATAGTGAGATGGAGAAGTAGTTTAATTTTAGTTGTTGTCAAGGATGCGGAACGCACTAGCCCTAGATCTGCATTGGGGGTTTTGTTTTAGTCAAGGGATTATGAATTTATGAGCAGTCATGATTTTAGAACATGCAAAATGAAGATGTGCTTGTGCCTCTCTGTTTCTTTCTTATATGTGATTCCTACTTCCTAGTAGTCTTGGTATTGCTTCACTTCCTATCATTTGTTTGTTGAAAAATGTCATCTGAAGAATAGTTTCTTAAGGAAATTAGAACTGGTAGAGTTCTTGTTAAAGTGCCAGCTCTTTCCATGTTTTCACTGCTGTGTTACAATGAAATTTGGTCGATGTGCCAACCTCTTCCCTTTCTCTTTTAAGGGCTCTTAGAAACTGAGCTGCTAAATGATTATTTTAATCAATAGCATATGCTATTGATTTGAAAATCCTGAAAGATGGTGGACATTTTATTTTTTATCTTTCCTTAAATTGGCAGAAATTTTACACAGTAATTGGTCTAATTACTGATTTTCCTTGAGCTACTTGTTTATTACATATAGTTATTTTATTTATTTCATTAATTCTAAATTACACTTTGTGGTTATTTGGTATACAGTTGAGCCCAACTCTTGTAGTGTACAATAATGTGATGTGCTAGTATGCTACATATGACATGAGTTGACGTTATGAATCACTTCAATAAATTCCCTTTGTTGTTCTGTAACTAAATCATGCGTCATGCATGGCCTCTGGATTCTTTCATATCATATGAGTCTCTGAAACGCCTAGTTTGCCTGCTAACAGGCTCTATTCGTGGCATCAACTCAACAACATTGGAGATACTTGATCTTAGCTCAAACAGGCTGACTGGTAGCTTCCCAGAGTTCAGTTCTCAATCAGGTTTGACAACTTTGAGAATCAGTAACAACTCCTTAGAAGGTAGCTTGCCCTCTGAATGGCGTCAGTTTGCAAAATTATCTAAGATTGACCTGAGCATCAACAACTTGGCGGGGCGAATCCCACCTGCTTTATTTTCATTGAACTTGAGAGACTTAAATCTTTCTAAAAACCATTTCAATGGAGCAATCCCCTTCCCAGAATCTACTACTGTTGGTGAATTTCTGGCTCAGCCTGTTTTTGCACCGTTGGAGTCCTTAGATCTTTCCGACAATTCATTAGTTGGTGATCTATCCAAAGATATAGGACTCTTGGGTAGGCTGAGATCACTGAATCTTGCAAAAAATAGCTTATCAGGACATATACCTAATTCATTAGTCAATATAGATGGGTTGGAATCCCTTGATCTGTCAAGCAATCAATTCAAGGGTCACTTACCTGGTAAGCTTCCTCCAAATCTTAAGTTATTAAATGTGACCTATAATGATCTGTCCGGTACAGTCCCTGAAAGCTTAAGATCATTTCCACCAAGTTCCTTCCATCCTGGAAATGAGAAGCTATATATCCCAGGTGATGAAGGATCACCAGGTGGTGGTTCAAATTATGTATCTGGAAAGAATGGGCATCGTGGTTCAAAGTCTAGTATCAAGATTGCCATTATTCTTGCCTCAGTCGGGGCTGCTCTCATG